CCATGCTTGACCACAAGTCCAAGCTTATGAGCATAGCATTGGGCATGTTGTTTAGAGTGATCTCATTGAACCTTCTCTTTAGACTCTCAGAAAACTTCATGAATCTTGTTAGCCATGGTGTTATTGTTGGACCCAGAGTCTGTTGTTTGAGCTAGCAGTAAAAAAACTTATCTTAGTGTGAAGCCTGTGTGTAATCAAGAAGCAGCCAACAGTTCAAGCTAGTAAGAATCCCATCTTGTTCTAAGCCACCAATTTGGGAGTGATATGAACCAATCTGTAGTCCAATTTTCATCAATGAAATTGGCCAAGACTCCAATGAAGACATATCTATTACCCTTTGTAGTCCAGACATCATGGACAAGGGAGAACTTTCCTGCATTGAACTACAATCAGATTTAATTTTGGTTTTCAGTAAAGTAGATGAAAGAAGTTAAGGAGGAAATGAAATGAAACAGAACAGAACAGAAACCTTACAGATACTAAATCAATCACTGATGAGCCCAGACTGTGATAGAGCTCCTTTGGGATCCCCTGCAGCCCAAGTAGGGGTCCTCAAGTCTTCTCGCCTATTAGCTAACTTGAATGTGGTGCGTAGAGGTCCATTGTAGAGAAATTTAAACGGAAGTGCATGTCATAAGCTCCATATGACAAGTATAGTTTTGCATAGGTCTACATTGAAGGTAGCTTGAGAAAGAAAAGTATCCAGAGTCAGTTGTCCTTGGATTTTTTTTGAAACTTGAGCAAGATCAGCTTGATCTTGAGCCCAAGTCTTAAGTCACTTCAGGCCAGCTTGAATTCAGGTGCTTGTTGGGGACACACAGCTCAACCTTTAACTATGTCACAATGAGCATACAAATGATAGTGATTAAGAGTACCACAGATATAGGTACCCTTACACCAGCTGCACTTGAAGCATCAAGAGTTGTCTCCTGGATTCAAATGTAAAACAATGAGAAATTGACAGCAGATGACCAAAGGGAAAAGCCAGTGGAATAGTGAAATTAAAAAGGCATTAATAAGTGAATAGATGATCTTACCTCATCTTTGATGTGAGTTGGGGGAAAGTAAAAGGCAAATAAGCTGTATACTTGTTCCAGTTGGGCCTGACAAACGCCTGGAGTCTGAACAATCTCTATATCTGAGTCCTTATCCACATTGAGAAAATTGGGAACAGTAGCCCACATTAGTTAGAATAGGGAGTAAGAGGAAGATAGCACATGATATTGAGCTGAGAGGAAGACACCAAGGGCCTTACATCAAAGTTGGTACATGATATTGAGGTGAGAGGAAGACACCAAGGACTTTGAGTCAACTCTTCCTTTCCTCAACTTCTTGCCAGGGAGTCAAGTCAAGCCCAACAAAGCACCTGACTCACATGGATATCCTTGACTTTTGACTACATGAGCCTTGTCTTTAGACTTACAGGGTTTTTCTTTTTCTTGGGAGGATCTGGTAGGCCGCCAGGGTTGGACTTGTCAACAAGTTTCTGAGTACCAATCCCATCACTGGTGTCAGATTCACCACTAGTAACCTTGTAAATTTCTGGATTGTTGTCCAACTGGGAAACTTCACATATAGGAGACAGGCAGAGGGATGACACTTCTGATCATGGGTAGGAGTACTAGGAGGATCAATACTAGAAGGAGGAGCCAGGGCAGAGCTTTGAGAGAAGAAGATGGACTTTAGATTTATGATTGAAAAAGGATTTCAATTGATCTGATTAATAAATGATAATAGAATGAAAAGATATAACATATCAATATGAATTATTCTAGTGTTATCTGACCAGAATCTTTGAAAGATCAGGATTGGAAACACTGAAGTTGGAGTTGGAAGAAAGAAGATGTACCTTATAAGTTTGATCCAAAACCAAAAGATCAAACTGCATGATTGAAAAAGCCATGAGGCCCAATTTGAGAAGTTCAACACCCACCGTAAACAATGCAGGTTGTTCAATATGGAAACAATCTATGTCAATCCAATCTGATAGCAAGGTGAGAGATCCTAGATTTGTGCGTCAGTGGAGGCAAGAATCAAAGAAAAAGAAAAAACCACTTACTATAAGGTGTGGTCAACGCAAACCTTCAAGGGAGGAGCCTAAGGGTTTGAGTGTGGTGGGCAGTGGCTTGCTTTCAGAGATAGATCAGACATCAGGTATCTGCAGATTTTGGAAAAGAATGGGTAGTAAGAAAGGAAGTGGTCCAAGGTATTGCTTGATATCTGCAACCTGCTACATGCAAGATGTGACAGGTTGCAGCTTGGCAACAATCACTATTGCCCCACTAATTTTGTGCTCCCATACATCAAAAAATTCAGGTGGGGCACAAATACCTGCTACACTCAACTTAGGGAAGCTTCAGTGGTGTGTCCCACCCCCCTTTTGCTTTTTGTGGCACAACACTTCAGGCATTGCGTCATAGCTGTAATGAATGTCTCTGTATAGGTCCTGTACACATCAAATAAGCTTGATGTGGCACATTTAATGCAGACTTTCATGTGGGGTCTTTTAGCCGGCTTGCATACAATTCTACTTGTGTAATCAGTGGAAAAAACCTTCAATATGGTTTTGTTCCAAGCTTTGTTGATTCTGCCACTGTATTTGTCAATTTCCAATGTTGTTCTGTATGGCTATACACATCTATAGTTCTAAACAAATATAGGACCAATAAACTTGTCAACTTTGCTCCAACACATGCAAGGCTTTGACATTATCAAAGTCTCATTTTGGCTCTATAATCTGCCTACAAGAATCAGTTGTGTGTCTTCAAGAATGAATAATTTACAACAATAGCCATACACAGCAGGAAACTTAAGATAGCTCAGAAATTATTACTCCAATACCTTTAGTACCTTGATAAACATTATAGACACAGTATTTGGCTTTTGTAAATTGAAAGTATTGAATTGATTGATGAAAACATTCTCATATCTGTCTGCATTCAAGGTTTTTGACCAAATCCTTTTGGTTTTGATTTTCTGAGATAATCTTCCTGCAATCATTTCCCTTCAAGCCATCTTCAAAACTGGAGGAAAAAATATTCAAAAATTTATAACATGATTAGAGCTCACACCTTGATTCTGTCATTATTTTTTCATTTCTTTTTTTCAACCCCTCATGTACCACTGGGATTTTTCTACATTTCTTGTTTTCTAAACTTACTGGTTACATCAATGATTTGGTCTAGTTTTCTTTTGTTTATGTGTTTCTCACTTTTTTTAGTTTGTCATATGACTATTAGAAATAGAGATCTCAAGATCTTTTCTGTTCTTCTACATCTTGCATTCCTGCAGGTGAGGCATTGATTCTTTCCACCCATCAGTCATTTACATATGGATACCTGCCAGATCCCCAGTTCAAAAAAAACATTTCTCAAACATTCATACCTCCCACACAAGCTGGGGTTTGCCAGAGTTTGCTGAGGTCCTGTTCAGAGTACCCTACCCTCATATATCTTATATGTATCTTATGTAATTAGTATACAACACATCCATTCTACGAATCAAATACTGAATTTCACTCAATAAAATGAACCACTTTAATTTTTTCAAACAAATCTTTAGTCGTCACTACATTACATAACCCACTACATGAACAAAGCTTTTTTTTGGTTGATTTATTTAATTTGTAATAAGCTCTTTTTCAAAGATCAAGTCATTGACTATAAGTTCAACCAACCTTTGAAAAACTTTCTTTCTTTCTTAAGTAAGCTCTCAGGGGTATATATTACAAGGAGTCTGTTTTTGAATCAGCAGATTTGATACAAGTTGGCTCAAAATACCGCAAAGATTAATTGAGGTGAAGTGAGAGAACTTGAGAGGATGTGAAAAACCTAGAAACACCCTACTTACTCACCAAAAAGGAAGACCCATAAAACAAAAGTCTTCCTCCAGACACCCAAGCTTGTAAAGAAGTACTGCCTGGCCAATTAATCTTTTCATTATCAAATCAAAAACTTCAAAAAGACTCATTAAAGTGTTTACCTACATCTTAAAGTTTTTTTTCTTTCTTAAACCTTCCAATCCATTGAAACCCACTTCTTTTCATTTTTACTAAAATAATTCAAATAACCAAAAAAAAAACGAAAAAAACAAAATCAAAGATTTCAAAGTCCTTATGAAAAAAAAACTTTTCTCTTGGTCTTTTGATTTTTTTTTCCTCAAATACAACAACATTTTCAAACAAAAAGATTAAAGAAAAAAAATAAACAATTACACATTTAGAGAAAACAATTAAATCTTCTTCTATATTTCTACTTTTTTCACTTTCCTTCTTCTTCTTCTTCTTCTTCTCCTTCATCTTTAATCGCCATTTCTTCATCCTTCTCTTCATTCCCATTCTCTTCACCCCCTTCACCATCACCTTCCCCACTCCCATCTTTCTCAATTCCTACATCCTTAACCGTCTCTTCCCCACCCTCTTGATCCCTACCTTCCAAATCCAATTGCTTCTCCTCTTTTTCTTCATTTACAAAACTAATCAAAGATTTCGACCTACTAGGAGTACAAGTTCTACCAGACGACTGATTGCCTTTCCTACCACTCCTAGGAGGCCTACCTCCTTTATTTTTCTTTTTAGTTTTTTCAAGCTTAGGTGGAGGCTTAGAATATGGATCAAGGTTAGGTATCAAAGGTATCGAGATCGGTCCTAAATCGATTCCAATACTTCCATTCGAATCTCGACTGCTTAGAAATGGACTCCAAGTCAATTTACTTGGATCGATGGTATAATATCCTTTGTTTTCATACTTTGAAATCCATTCTTTCAATATACCTTCATCCCATGTAATCGTATAATAATCTGGTTTACTCTCTAATCCGATGACCACTTCAATAGGTTTTAATTTCTTTCGATTACTCGATAAGTTACTGAATTTCGAATTCGTGCCTCTTTTCTTATTATTAGGTGTTTGTAATGAAGAGATTGATGAATCAGGTAAAGATGATGATGAGTTGGTTGATGAAGTAGCTAAGGTGGCCTTAATCCATCCTTTATGTAGACAAGTATAATAAACATCATTTAATGCTATTGATGTATGATTTGCAATATCTTCAAGTGTGATTTGTTCTGTAACGTCTGTACTTAATAAGTATCTAGTAATTGCTAATGTCCAATAATTTCGATAACTTAATAATCCTAAATCTGATAATGGTTTTTCAGGTGTACCCACCCTTTTTTCTTTCTTAGATAACAAATAACCTATTAATCAAAAAAAAACCATTAATATCAATCAATCTCTTCAAAAGTAAATTCAAAAATCAAAATAGAAACAAAAGAAAAACTTACTAAAATCAATCAAAAAATTACCCCATCCTTTCCTCTGTCTAACAGGTAATGTCATAATACAACTAACATTATTAGTAGGACTTCTTTTTTCCTTTGAAAAATATCCAACAAATTCACATCCACCTTCACTACCACTTTCACCATTAGCTACTGTTAAATTATGATTAGTTTGAGTGATCACATAAAACAAAAACGGATCTACATCATAATAAAGTGTTTTATGATCTAAAAACATCTTGGCTAATAAACAAAGGTTTTGACAATACAATTTGTTTTTCCGTCCATCTACTTCAAAAATATGAATTCCATTGGTTAAATCTCGATAGATTTCATCTCCTGGTGGTACCATCGTCTTACATTTCGTTCGATGTCTTTCATATTGAAATTGAGTTTTGAAATATTTCAAACAACATTCACATATCCAAAGTTGTCCATTCGGTACACTTGCATATTCTTGTGGATATGGGGCTTGATACCAAATTTCGATTTCATATTTTCCAAAACAAATGGTTCTGATACTTGACAGGTTCTTCGTATGAGGGTCTGCGTCCTTTCTAAGAATTCGATTCTTGGTGGCCGGGGTTACAGATGTAGATTGATTATCATCGGATTCATTACCGGCGGAAGGGGATCCGACTGGACTACTCTTAAACATAGATGAAGATGAGGCTGTCCTCGATTTGAAATCAGTGGTGGGTACCCTCAGCTCTCGTACCGGTCTCGGTAAGCGTTTTTCATCTGGAATCGGTGTCGATTGATGTTTAATTCGATCTTTCAAAGATAATGGTGGTGGGCTCGTGACAAGGTTCTTTTCAATCGGTTCAGTGATCATAGCTTCAAGTCTCGCCTAGAATGAAAAAGGTGATCAGTATCTGATATAAATCAGTACAGACAAGGCGGAAGACAAAACCAACCTCAGAAGCCTGTAAACTGTTCTTGAACCTGATTAAATCATCATCCGTAATCACCCGATCTCCTAGATCTGCCTGTGTCTCGTCCAAAGCACTCAAATACGGATTCTGACCATCTTCCTCACTAGTTTCCTTCCTCCCAAATCCTTCTTCCAAACTTTCTTCATGATTTTGAAGACTGGCCGAATTCTTATTAAGTAAATGAATATGTCTAAGTGTCTCATTCTTAACCGATTTTTGTGAACTTTCATCCGTCGGCTCTGCAACAATGAGTTTGTTGTCTTCTAAAGCAATCTTCTTATGAGCTCGATCATCATCCGAATGAATCGCTTTACGTTTTTTACTCCACGTTCTGGGAGCTTTCTTGGTACTTGTGGGGATTGTGTTGATGGTAGGGATAATCGCAGGTGATGGAGGTAGTGTGAGATGATCTGGTAACGGTGATAGTCCTGTTGAATCATCGTGTGCATAAGGACATGTCCAATCACCTAATATCGAAAAATCAAAAGTCAAACGGAGGATGGGATCAAATCGATGCGGAAAATTCAAGAGTCCTAAACCAAGATTCAAAAACTGACCTTTAGGCACGGATTTTAATGGTGGATTTAGACATCGACCATGCCATCCTCGATCGCATGTATCGCAGAAAAGCATGTCACCATCGTCGCCTCCTGAGATTGGGAGATTGGGAGAGTGGGAGGTTCAGAAATAGGCGATTTTGTATAAAAGCAGATCAGACATACCTTTTTCATCGCAAGAAGAACATCTACGACATTCCATACATAGCCAAGAGTAAGATTTAACTTGGCGTTTGATGGTCAAGCTATGAAGTTGAAGACAACTGAAATGACCTATGGAACGATACCAAGTAAAGCAAAAATTGAAAAAACAAGTAGATTTAGACGCGAAGTTTTAATCGAATATGAAGATTTCAAGAGAATCTACGAGAAAGAGGTATATATACCAGATTGACCACATTCCCAACAGCTGACCATTTCACCTTTTCCACCTCTCCGATGTTGATCGAGTGAAGTAGAAGAAAGAGCAGGTACGATACTCGAAAGTGAATATTCGCCTCTCTCCATCTGACCTTTACCATTATCAAATCCACCTTCTTTCGAACAAAGACTACACCATCCTTCCCTTGGTGCTCTTGGACCACCTACGGTACCGGCTTTAGCTCTTGAATGTGGTGAAAGGGTGGTCATTGGAATTGGTACGGATTGTGATTTAGACTTTTGTTTCTTTTTTGCTGTAGGAGTATTACTTGTTGGTAAATCTAAATGTAAATGAATCGGTTTGAGTTTAGAAGCGTTCTTTTTGATTTTAGGAGTAGTAAATGATTTGATATTAGGTAATTTAGCTACTATTTTTTTGTTTTTTGTTTGTCTGATTGTCATTTTTTCGATTGGAATTGAAGGTGCTGATAAGATTTGATGATTTGGTGGAATACCTTGATTTGAGTTTGTGAAATTAAGGTGTTGATGATGATTAGTGGTTGAGAAGATAGTCCGATTCGGATCTAATTCTGTTTCTAATTCTAATTCTGAGTCTAAATCACCTTCAGCGTCTTGATCTTCTTCTCCGTCTTGATCTTCTTCTTCTTCTTCTTCTTCTTCTTCTTCTTCTTCTTCTTCTTCTGCTTCTTCTAAAATCACTTGACCTGTTTGATGATCAACTTCTCCTTCGTCTTGATGTTCTTCTAATGTCAATAATTCTGATGTTTGATGATGATTCAAGATCGGCTGATGATAATGATTTGTATAATGGTGATTAGGTATCGAATTATAATTGATATTAGTTAGAGATGATGAAGATGCGGTTGGTGGTAATGGTAATGGTAATGGTGATAAAGATGTAGATGAACCTGATCCGGTTGAGTCAGTTGAAGTGTTTGTTTTGTATGAAGATGAAGGAAAGTTGTAATTTAATGGATTGAATTCATATATCGATGAATTGGTTGTTGAAGATGATAGATGATGAAGTTGAGCGTTGGCCATGGTTGCTCAGTTTGTGGTAGTTGGATCAGTAAGTTGATAAGTTGAGTTGAAGTTGAGAAGTGGATGTTGAGGAAACGATGAGAAAGGAAACCAAAACACTGGTGACTGTTGTGGTGGTGATGTTTTAAATCAAACTACATTTCTCAATTACATCACATTCTCATCGAAACTACATTATCAATCTCAATCTGCATTTTCAATTCAACTTCACTTGTCACTCACCATCATTTTCATCACACAATCACACATACTCAATAAAATCCATGCCAGTTTATCTTCATAGTATGGATTTCAAAACAAAAACATGGAACTATTATACTACAATTGGCCGAAAAAAAATCAAGATAAGTCCAGATAAAAAAGAACAATCAATGTAATAATTATACAAAGTGTAAAATTAGGATATGAATCTGTTGGTCAAATATTTGGTAACATTCCAATCTTTTGACAAGCAGCTAGCAACCCGTGCTTCTTACTATATTTATGAATGTCTAAAGATAATTAACAAAATCAATCATTAACCAATGTAAACTCAATAATCCAAAATGCAATGCTTTGAAACTTACCTTCTCGTGTCATATCACAAACTGCTAAGCTTACAATACATTCCGCATCTGGATCAGCAGGTAAAAGACTTTATAAAAATCCAAATCAAAAGAACCAATCCCAATCAATCTTCAAGGAAAGAAAAAAAAGAAAAACTTTGATCACTCAAGAAAGAAAGAAAAAAGAAAGAAAGACTTTACCTATTCAAGTAAGGATCATAAGCATAAGTAAGATACTTTTGTTGACAACTCCAAGAATGGATAACAAAATATTCGAATTTTAAATTATATTTTGCCGGAATCAAATGAGCCCAAGTGAATTTTTCAATTAATTCTCCTTCTTCTGATTTCACGATTTGAAACATACTGTTTTTTTGAATCAACAAATCAAGAAGAAAACAAATCAAGATTTATTAAAATTTCTTCAAGTTAAATCTTAGAGTGTGTTTTGTAATATTTTTTTGTTGAGAAACTTACATTCCATCTTGATCACAGTATGACATCATTTGATCATCTGAATATGCTCCATTTGGTCCATCTTGTGTACAAGGTTCCTGTTGTGCCCAATTTTGTTAGATATTAGTCAGTTCCTGTTTCTGAGACGCCAAGATGATGAAAGAATGTGTTTGGCTTTGTGGACATGATATGATTATATCCGTTTAACTGACCCTTCCACGAACCACAAAATAACCCTACAAGTGTTCCCAACAGTAAAATCCAAGACGAAAATAGTCCGAAACAGATCATTGAGGTCGAATTAAAGAAATCACAAACAAAGACGCGCAAAGCATAATTTCCATCAGTTCACCAAATGTGTAGTAGCAAAGCAAAAAGGACACTCTGAAGAAGAAAATCACCTTAGCTTTCCAAATAGCAGCAAGTAATCTAGCACGAGCCACACGAGAGATTGAAGTTTGAATATCACCTTCAGTCATTTCAGATCCAGAAAAATGATTATTCAAAAAGATTCCATCTTTAAGAATACCGTATAAACCTTTCTCAGTACTGATCCCAGCTCGAGTAGCAGATTCAGTTGTATCGGCTAACATTGCTTGGGTTGAAGCTTGTGCTTTTGATAATAAATAACTTATATCATTTGTCTATTTTCTCAATTTCACTCCAAAGAGAAGATCAGAATGAGGATTTGACGAGAGATACCAAAAAAAAAAAGAAAAGAAAAAAAGTAAAGCCATCTTTTGATGACTATCTTCAAGAAGATTTAAAAAGCTCACCTTTGAAAGTTCATCGGTGGGTAGAATGGCATATAGATTATGATACGTCCAAGCAATACCTGATAAGAAACCTGTTCCACCTTGAACAAATGGCCAAACTGTCGAACCAAAGAATGCAAGACCTTGAGGATAAAGGAAGCCAGGAATAGCACCGAAGAGACCAGCAACAAGACCGAGAAGAGTAGATTGGATAGCAAGATTATCAGGTTCATGTGGTACGATATCATTGACCTTTTTTTGGGGTGCAATTTTCAACATCAGTTTCGTTCATCGGCTTGTATATCATTTTTGGAAACTGGTTTGAGACTCACAATTGAAGTCACTAGCCCTGTTGTTCGAATTTCATCCATTATAAAGAGATAGGTTATAGATTATCATCAGCTCATATTGACTCTTGTGGATGATAAGGATATTTACCTTGTAGGATCGATATTGCAAACCCAGTGGCATCATACATTGTATTACTAAACGAGTTCCAATTTTGAACAGCAACGAGTATATACCAATCGGGTGCACTAACAGGCATACAAATCTTGAAAAGTGAATATTTAAAGAAGCATTCTCAACATTTGAACTTCTTTAGATCAAAGAAAATCAAATCAAATTTCCAAAAAAAAAATTGACTCACTTGACTAGCATCACAAACTTTTCCGATCCCACAAACAAAATTAGTTGCACCGACTTTTTCAGCATAAGCTTCTAATGAAAGTTGATCTCCTTGAGGATAAGTAAGTAGATATTCGTGTAATTTAAGTTCTTTCCATAATTCAGGTGTCAGTGGTAATGGTTTACAGGCATTATCGATTCTTGAAAGGTTTCCAGATTGATTGGTGGAATTTGATGAGACAGGTGATGGAGGTTTTGGAATCGGTGGTAGGATAGGTGGATCAAGGAGTGTAGTATTATTCTCACTTAGATTAGGTGAGTGTAGTTCAGAAAGTCCATAACGAATGTAAGAGTTAAGAAATAGATATAGGTAAATGAGGTGACGCCCCAAGGGCAAGATCATCTTTGGAACTCGTTCAACTCGTTCCTCTTGAATTTGAAGTTCAGCATAAAAACAGTTCCAAAGAAGTTCAAGGATAAAGGGAAGCGATAAGTTCTTAAAGAAACTTCCGAGACTGAACGGATCAAACCGGACGAATTGGAAAGATTTTAGTCTTTTGGATTTCTTTCTTGATTCAAGGGTCCATTTGGGAGTCAGTTTCATTGATTTGTTTCAGTGAGAATATAAGTTATAACGAATTTGAAAAAAGTCGAATCTTAGCATTTAGTATGTAGAAGCCCAAGAGATGACTCAAGTGGAAATCTCATGACGATCTAGTTCTATCAAGTCTACGAAATACAAGTGATAAGACCTCTGCTTCCTTCCTTTGCCCCTACCCCCACAGCCCCGGTCAAGGTGTAAACACATTTCGGTCAGAAGTCAAATACATGATTTCGAATCTAGCTATTTTCTGAAACAATTCCCGTTACGTTGATGTTCCGAGAAAAGGAGAATCATAAGTCTCAAAGCAAACTACATAAACTGCCGAACTTCAAGCCGGTTACAGGGGAAGTGTAGGTAAACAGGAGAAGAGTGGTCACAAGGTACTTCATCACTGAGTCTGGGTATCAAGGTCTATGAATTTCTTTTCTTCTTCTTCGTTTCAAGTTTCATGATCGGTCTGTTCTAGACAAATCTTGAAATGAGCTTTGTGCATAGCCATGATGGATAAACCAGATAAAATCCATTCGGCATACGGCGAGGTAAGAAAACAGAATGAGATGAGATGTAGATGAAAATGGAGATTGGCGAAATTATTTAAAGTCTTCATCAGATTCAAGGTCTCCAACCCCCATATGACCGATCACAAAATCGTATCAAAGAAATATCCACTGCAAAGGTACAAATCAAACTCATCTCGTACCCAACAAAACAGATCATCTTGATATCGACTGCATCCAAAAAAGGAGCTCCACGATTCCCTCGAGATGGATGATAGTTTGCCATATATAGGTTTCTTTCTGTTTCTTTGATGTGATACTAGTAATGTAAACGTAGGAGAGATAAACTGAGGACTTTCTTGTTTTGTTTCAAAGCTTTCGAACGTTCAATAAATATGTAGCTAGTATAACTGGCTCTTATTTTGATGCAAAGCTAAGGGAACCATTCGGGTGACTGATTGACTCAAGTCATCGAAATTACTTTACACAAAAAACACGGTGGTTTTGTTCGATGTAACTTCTTACTCTCTTTGCCTTTTGTCCTCAAACGTGTCTACAGGTCTTATTGAAACACCGCAATCCAAAGCTCACGGGTGACTAGCATATTGTCATGTATAGATAGATAAATATGTGATTTTTGATAATTTTATGGGCTGCTCACTAACGCAAAGAACACTGTCTTGGTGCCCTAATTCCCCACGAACCCAAACAATCCTATCTACAATTGTTGACTTTTACACAAAAGAAACAAAGGGCTCAAGATATGACATATGCCATCTGAGGAATTGTTGATCAAGGGCTTATCAATCTAAATCACATTCATTGGAACATCTATGAGTTCTCTTATATAGTGAACATTTGTGTGTATGTATCACTATGAAGGGAAGATAATCCCAATGGGATTGGTCTGATGTTTTTTGTTTACGAGGACTTCCGCCGCCCCAAGGTGGATCTCAGCCTTGACTCTTGAGTGATTTTTGAGACCTTGATGTGGTTCTATTGTCATTCCACCACCAGATTTACAAACCAAATCCCACTGAGCTGGGCTATATAAACCATTGACAAGCGATAGGGGATTGATTTGCTATTTCTCAGGGGATATGTATGTACATACTTTTTGGTACCCCTTTTGAAGCACTTTGTCTTGATTGATCTGATTGTGAGAAAGTCTGAATTGAATGAAGAGATAGAGTTACGATTTAAGTATTTTGATAATCAATTTTGAGGTTTTGTTTCTAAAGTTCTTCATTTTGATTTTGATTTTGATTTGAAACCCCATCGAAAATTCAAAGCTCAAGCTTTAAAACTAATTACTTCTCGTTGACTTTTATTTCTTCATCTTCATCTTCATCTTCACTTTCTAAAAGCTTTAAGTTCAAATCAAACTCATAAACCAATGGCGTATGTCTTTACAAACCAATCGATTCATACTTGACTTTAGCTAATATACATATGAATATCTTTTTTCATTTAGTCAGGTCGAACAATACTTGACCGATCATTTGCATTCCTCAAAAGAACGTCTACTTGATGATCCTTCTCATCCACTCAACTCAGCTGTTCCTTCAAGGTTTGTTTCAATCTCCTCTTTACTTTATGGTCATCGAGACCTGGATCTGATTTGTTTCTTTTTGACCTTTTCAGACCTGGTCCAGAGTTAGACATCAAGTATCATGGTTTACCTGAACCTCCTCATTACATTTCACCTCAATCTCACGAAAATCATGATTCAATAGAGACCCAAGACAATTCAGTTGCTACTCGATCTCTTGAAGAAGATCGACCTACCGCTTCTGATCACGTTTCTGAACCCATTAAATCATCCGATATCGAAAAGGTCCCCGATCAAGATGTCGCTACCAAAGAAACCATCCCACATTCGACATCTGAGGTCGAAAAGGTTGCTGATCATGACGAGCCCGAAGAAGCTACCTCACACGTGATCTCTGAGGCCGAAAAGGTCCCTGATCATGAAGATACCGAGGAAATCGGCCCACATTCGACATCTGAGGTGGTCAAGGACTCTGTACCTGCTCCAATCTTCGAGGACACGGCAATGCCTGAAAAATCGAAACCTGTTCATGTGAATGAAGCAAGTGAAGAGCCGTCTATGGAGCCAGCGCCAACCCAAGAAGTCGTGGATCATCCAACTACCTCCGAAGAGCCTGCACCAGTTGAAGAAGCCGTTGAAGCTGAAGAGTCAAAATCTGTCCCCGAGCCGGTAGCTGTGGAAGAAGTATCTCCTGTGGAGGAACCGTCTACCATCACCGAGTCGGAGCCATTAACCAACGGGATTTCTCATGAAGAGGAGACTCCTAAGGAGGAATCGGAAGTGGTTCGATCCGAGCCAAACGGTATCGTTTCACAACCCTCGGTGAACCACAAACAACCTACCACCCAGACCGAGTCTAATGTCTCAACTCATGATTGGACAGACCTGACTCGACCTGAAGTACAATTTGCTCGTAAGTTTATCTTGGTGTCTCCTTGTTCAAATCAGGAGATCAGTGACTGAAATCGAGTGAATCCAGTCTGTTTGTTTGCCGTCCCATGGACCTCGCTCCTCATCACTTCTCGAACACTTAATCAAATCTGTTATATGATCTTCGATTGGCAACTCGTTCAACCAGTCACCGGTTTACTTCTCTCCGTCTTGGCTCCTTCAATGCTTTATACAAGTTTGATTGCTGTCTTTATTAGTCTCTTGAGTCAATCTTCAACAGATCCTTAAGCAGTTTAAAATCCTTGTTTTTTTTCACAAATAAATTAGAATCGATTCACTTTTACTTTTTCTTTTTTTCTTCAATTCATTTTTTTTTCTTTCAAAACTTATGCAAAGATCATGACAACAAAAAAATTGTCTTTTTCTTTTGTATATAGAAATCATCCTTATATACATCTACTTAATCTTTTCTTATATCATCTTACACATTATTATCATTCTGTTTGTTTGGTTTCCGGTTTCCTGTTTTCCTTTTTTGCGTTGAGATATGAAATGCTAATGATAGTCTTCTACTTATGATTTTGTATGACTTTGATACTCTTGATCTTTTTTTTTGTTTTGTTTCTGATCTATAGCAAAGAAAAAAAAATCCGTTTTTTGATGATGTTTCGGCTTTATAGGCTTTCTCTTTGCTAGATTGCAAGTATCTTTCATGGGATCTGGTAGTCATTTGATTATCAAGTAGTCTTCAAATAACAAAACATGTTGTGTTGTATGGTACCACAGCACATTGCTCCTATGTACAAATGTGCATTGAGCATTCAGCTCAATCAAGGTCTCCGAATCAAAAAAGACACGTTTTTCTTGATTGAGCTGTGGATATAGAGACTGGGTGATTACCTCAAGGTGGTTCACAGCTTTAGATCTAGAAGCTGGTCCGTGCATTGACACAAGGTAATCGAAGTGATAGGTCTGTTGACCCTGATCGGGTTTTCACAGTGTCAGTATCAAGAGGTATTATTGCTGAAAACCTCCTTTGCTTCTTTACCTTCATCCCACTTTAACTTTGTCAATTCTTATTTTCCAGTCATCACTGATACCACTTATACTTTCTTCTCCTACATATCAGCATTACCTTTTTTTTATTGTTTCAAACGTGAGGTTTATGGTCATATCTTTGCAGCTTTTTTTGTATCTGCTCTTTTAATTGACCTGTTGTGGTATTTTTTTAATTTCATATTTACTGATAATCAAATACCAAAGAATTAAAAATATGGTTCCTATATCTTTGGATATAGATAGTAGAAAAAATGATATATTTATAGCTTTTTTATTTTGAGTCTGAGGGAAAACAAAGAAGACAAAATGGATAGAGAAACAAGCGAAAAAGAAATCTATATTGATGAGGAACGTTGAGGCCATGGTGATAATGTGATCATCAATGATGATACGATCACTTATGTCGAGAGGAAGAGTGTATCTAGGACAGTCCACTCAAGGATACGCTGTGTAGTAAGAAATTGTTGTGAGCTGATTCAAAGTGACCCATCAGGTTATGAAGAACAAAAACTTACGAGGGACATAGGGGCCTGAATACATGTAGGGGATTCCTACAGCAGCTGCCAAGTTGATACGGCCGTCTCCAGTGATCCTGGTCCCAGCCACCCGAGACACTGGCATCTTCAAATCTGATCGACAGTATACACAAATCATATTCTTCCCTTGAAGGTTGAGATGCTTAGCGTACTGAGAATAAAAAAATGACCACGGGGTTAATGATTGGCTAGCTCTAGGCAGTGTGTTGGTGGAAGAAAGAGAGTGATGAACAAACCTTGTGATGACATTCTGCGTGCCAACTATTCCCACAAACCTTGTCACAAAACATCAAGTCTTGAGCTGGTTCAGAGAGTAGTTTGTCGTAACAAATTGGACAATCATCTTCTTCTCCAATAGGCTTTCTACGTGATGCGAGATCTCCAGAGGCTTTGGACTGTGATTTTACATCAGCATAAATTGACCTCACAAGTGCAGAGGTTGGGACAACAGGAGCTTCTGGAGCTGTAGAGAAGATGTTTTCAACCTCCGTACTCAATAGCGCCCTAAGGATGTTAAGAAGGATGGTGCAAGTGAGATCGGGATTTGAGTATGTTAGTGGGATTGTTGGACCTTTCTGGATTTACTTACTTCTGGAAGTACCATGGCAATTTGGGTGACACTCCAAGTACTTTGATGAAGACGAATCTTTGTATCAGAACAACATGCAGTAAGTATAAGTGACCACACAGTGCTACTATCGGTAGTAGTTGGACTCGGAGAGGTTTGAATTTGGAAGAATAACGAGGTGTGATGACCTACAGGAGATGCTTGCAGACATATCCATTCAGCCAATCCGGACAGTCGCAACGGGGCGATTGATCAACAACGAGATTATAAAGCTATCAGAGCAATTATCTCGTCAACACTCATGATTGACGACCTGGAGTGGGACGGAGTAATATTTCTGAGGTTTGAATCTCTCTCACGTTTCCTGTATTACCGAGTACTCCAAATTTCTCGCACAAAGGACCCACTCGATCCCGGCCAGCCAGCCAGAGCTTTTGTGTCATAACTCGGTGAAGACGCTCTCGGACTTTCTACAATGGATAAAGAAATTCAAAGGCGAGTCATCAGAGATTATGTCTAGGTCAGCTTTTAGCTTTGATGTGGTCGCTCACAACTGAACACTTGGGGCGCCACCGAGCCTTTCGTTTCTCACCTCCACGCTGGTGTGGAGGTGCCGGGAAGGGTCCGTCGTGCTCTGGGTCCCATTGAGGGTGAACAGGCCACCGGGAAGGCGTTGCATCCGATCGACCGGTTGGGTGGGTAGGCTGATAAGACGTGAACTCATCCTGATACGAATAATCACTGTGTGAGTCGTCAGTCGGCATTCTGAATTTTATGGAGGTGGTGAAGTTTGGACAGAAAAATTGGAACAATCGTTCTGCTTGCGCTTTTTTAAACTTGATTCGAATGTACTTTTCAAAAAAAGAACCACATCATGGGTGATCAGAAAAATCCACACTGGCTACTTTCTTGAAACAGGGTCGGAAGGAATGGCAGCTAGAGCCACGGTGGCAATCAAGCTTAATTTGGCATATGTGCCCATATGAGCTTTCTCAGAGCCGCTATGAGTAGCTAAATCCGGTTGAATGAAGTGTTTCTTTGTCTTGAGAGAAAAGTTGACTTTGCCTTTTGTTGCAGAGCTTGGGTGATTTACTTGTTCAATCGAAAGGGAAAAAGATTCAAATGCAAAGTGTTCCAATATGAAATTTTCACCGGATTTTATTTGATTGAAGTGCATTCCAAGAGACACTCGATTCAGGATTTATTGTTTGTATCATTTGACTCAAAGCATGAATGGAGAGGAAATGGGTTTTTTATAGGGACCCAATCTCGCGATACACCATGAGCCTAGGATATGCCTTGCGCCATCTCCAGGCAAAGTAATCTCAGTCAAATCACCTGTGTAAATACTGGTAAACCCTTGACCTACATCATATCACAGGTCATGGGCCTCTATAAATTCAACATGGTCCTACTGTAGAATTTTGGAGCTCCATACCACTAGAGAACACGGGAAGCAAGACAATGAAGTGTGGACACGGACAAGTTTATGGATTCTTTCATATTTCACATTTACCACCTTACGTGGATACCCAAGAATGACAGATGATTTTCATCTTCGACAGTTTTGAAGTGTGTAGAATATATGATGATTTAATATCTTCGTTTTTGTCGGGCCTGCAAGTAAGATAAAGATGGAAAAAAGAATAGAGAGAAAAAGAAAACAAGATCAATCTGAATTGACGAGGAACCCTACACCAACGCTCAAGGCCATGATGATCAAATGAACATATAATGCAGGCATATGGCAAAAGGAAGAGGTAGTGCATCCATGATACAATCCATAGGTGTCCACGCAAGATTACGCTGTATGTCAAGAAATTGTTCTGAGCTGGCTTGGTCTGACCCAGTATATGATAAAAACAAAAACTTACGAGGAGCATAGCGATGTGGGTAGACGTAACCGAGCCCTGCAGCTCTTCCAAGGTTGACGTAGCCGCCCTTGTAACTCCCATCCAACTCGGATCCTGGCATCTTCCAATCTGCTCGACAGTAAACGCAGATGACCTTCTTGCCGTCATTTCTGAGAGTTTTGACATACTAAGAATAAGAACGGATTGTCAATAAATTACTAGCTCAATAAAGAAGATGGTTGTTAGATGAAAGAAGGAAGGTTTGAACAAACGTCTTGAACACAATGTTCATGCAATCCCTTCCCACAACCTTTGACACAAAAGACCAGACCTTGGGTCGAGTTGCACGGTAGATTTTCATAGCAGATAGGACATTCATCTCCTTCTTCAATGGGCCTTCGTTGTGATGGGACCTCTTCGGAATCATTGGTCTGAGACTCGCGCTTCTTGGCAGCATAGGCGTTCCACAAACGCCGAGCTATTGGATCAACAGGATATTTGATTTCTGGAGCTTTAGAGAAGATTCTTTCAACCTCTTTAGTCAAGAGAGCCCTGAAAATGATCAAAAGCAACGAAAAAATGGGTTTAAAATGTATACCAGCTACATTTTGATCAAGTGAATGAGGCCGTGAGGATTCTAGGTATATTTGACTTACTTCTGGTAGAACCACGGTGATACTAGTGGTACTTTAAGCACTTTGATGAACACAAATCTGTGTATCAAAACATGTAGTCAGCAAAATTGACCATATATAAGTTGGATAAGATTTTGCCTGTGAATAGCCTACAAGATATGCTTGCAGATATATCCTTTGCGCCAATCCGGACAGGTGCAACTGGGTAATTGATTTATGATAACTTTAAAAACCTATTGTTAATTTATGAGGTTCTGTCAACATCCAACATTATCAAACTGGGGGAAAGGGATAATGTCTAAGCTTGAACGTCTCTCACGTAGTAGGTAGTACCGGATACTGCAAATTCCTTATGCGAGGCACTGACCACAGTAGCGTGGTCAAGGATATACATATCTTGATATATCGCTCGCCAAATACGCTCTTGGACTTTCTATTTTGGATATATGTCAAAAGAGGTTAGACATCAGATGCCGCTTCTGAGTAAGTTTATTGGGTTGATGAGCTTGCTCACGATTGAACTGGAAGAGCGCCACGAACCCAGTCGTTTCTCGTCTCCACGTTTGCTCGGAGGTTTTAAAAAGATTATGCCGGGGTGAGGATCGTATCGCTCATGGATGGGATACCGGCGAGACGAATTTGATGAACTGGTAGGCGAATGAGTTGAGTAAGGTGTGGACTCTTGATGATTCCCTCTTGCTGAGCGGTCAGGAGCCATTATGAGAGTTGTGAATGTGGTGAACTTCAATTGTTGGAGATGTGGTGGGATTGCTCTGCAGGTGCTATTTGAGGTCGAGTCGAATAGACTTTTTCAGAGTCTGGGCAGCCAGCAAAATCCATAATGGTTATATAGTTTTTTGCAACACGGCCAGGAGGATTGGCAGCTAGGGCCACGGTGGTAAGAATGATTAATTTGGCATGTGTGCTCATAAAAGCTTCCTCAGAGCCGCAAAAAGCGACCAAATCTGGTTGCCTAAAATACCTCTATGTCTTATTGATGACCTTCTATCTCGGTATTGGTCAAAGTGATCGTAACAATCAAAAAGGGAAAGAGATTTTGATGTAAATTATCCAAAGACGGAATCCAGCTTGACTTCAATCAATTGGAGTGCATGAGATTCGATTTAGATTTTGTTTTCCACTCTACTTTTCCGCATGTTTGACTTCACTGATGAGCTGTCAAGAAACTGTTTGCCTATAAAGACCAATCAACGTCTCATAGAATTTCCGGTCTTCATCTGATTCCTAAGCAGGAAAATGGGTTACAAGCTGGGTTTTTGCAAACCCTCTTTTGTTTGGCCTTTTCTTCTAAGTCGTTCAAGATCAATTTCATTTATGAGTGCTTTTGTTTTCTTTCTTGCAAAAAAGCTTTGTTGCTTGATCAAACATGCCGATCAATGAAGGAAAGTCAATGACCGAGCAAAGGTCTGGACTATGACACCTTATCTTTCTATAACGGTCAGTTTCATGTTGGGGAACTAAAGTTACAAAAAGTGAAAAAAAATAGCGGCGTCAAAATCTTCTCTTGAGTTTGCCAGATGAAGCCCCGAGAAAGTCAAGAGATAGAGTGCTGTGAGATGAGCGCGAGCTCAACATGTATGCTGGCATCAACTGTCTACAAAAATCTCTGCGAGGTTTTCAAGCCCGCAGGAATCGAACTGAAGGTCTGCAGGCAAGGATGGCTTTCTCATTAGGAAGAATTAGCAAACAGTCCACAATTCCACATGAGAAGCGGAGTACACTTATCCGCTTTTCAACAAAAGGGTAAAATCAAACAAACATCATTCACCACCCAATCAAAGAGCATAAAGCTAGCTGATAAGGTTGTACATGACCACAAAATACATCTATTCAAGAAAGTCACACAAAAAATCAAAGTCATAATGATCAAGTCATCATCAATGGTAATAAGACCGTCCACGGCGAGGAGGATCTAATCCCAATTCAGGATACATCCAATAATAATCGGAGGCTGTGTATCAACCATAATGTTTGAAGTTAATTCATAGTGATTCAAAAGATGGTAGGAACAAAAACTTACGAGAGACATAAGGAGCCGCTTCAGGAATTCCTGCTGCAGCTGCCATATTGAGGTAGCCATCCTCTGTGATTTTGGTACCTGCAACAGCATTGGACTCTGGCGCCTTCCAATCTGCTCGACAGTAGACGCAAATCACCGGCTTACGTTGTCCCTTTAGATTATTGGCGTACTGATGATAGAAAAAGGCCATGTTATAAATTATTGTCTAGCACAACGGAAGGTGATAGTATCTTGATGCCAAAAAAAAAGTTATGAACAGACCTGTTGGTGACACTCTGCGTGCAAACCTTTCCCACAACCATCCTCACAGAAAACTATGTCTTTGGTCGAGTCGCAAGGAAGTTCCTCGTAACAAATCGGACAATCATCTCCTTCTTCAATAGGCTTTCTGCGTGATGGAACTTCTAGAGCAGCATCCACCGGTGCTTTACCTGTCGCAGCAGCATAGACTGATCTCAAATGTTGAGATGTTGGGTCATTGGGAGCTTCTGGAGCTGCAGAGAATATATCCTCGAGCTCGTTCGTCAATAGCGCCCTGAAAACCATCGAGTGAATGATGCAGTTGAGTTTAGTATATGGATTCAAGTGTTTGGAGATTTTGGAATTGACTTACGGCTGATAGTACAGTTGCGATGAGATTGGAACTCCAAGTACTTTGATAAAGACGAATCTGTGGATCAGAACATGAAATAAGCAACTGATCAAACGGTTGTCGTAGTACATTATGAGTCTAGAAAAAATGACTGTGATAACTTACAGGAGATGTTTGCAAATATTTCCCTTGAGCCAATCCGGACAAGTACAACTAGGCATTTGATTAACAACCACTGTGTAGATCTATGTAAGGATTTATAGAAGGCGTTGTTAAAGCTCAAGGCTATCAAAGTCGGTCAAAGGAATTTGATTCAAGTTTTGAACTTCTCTCACATTTCCTGTCGAGCCGAGAACTTGAAATTCTTCATGTAAGTCAGTACCCACACGAGTGCGGTCAACCATGAAGAACCTTTGGACCATGACTCGGGCAAGACGCTCTTGAACTTTCTACTTGAGACATAAGTGAAAAAGGATGGGTCATCAGAAAGCCGCGTCTCCTCAAGCTTTGATTTTTGATAAGAATGCTGACGATTGAACAGGTAGCACGCCATCGACTCATTCGTTTTTCTGGTGACTTCACCCGTGGGTCCTTTCGAGATGATGGAAAGGTTGTGTTGTGGTGTGGGTCCAATCGTGGGTGGACAGGGAACATGGAAGACCTCGCATCTGAACGACTGGTAGACGGATAATTTTCAGAAGATGTGGACTCATGGCAATACCCATAATCTCGTTGACGGTTGCACGAAGGAGGCATTTTGAAGTTTATGGATGGGATGAAGTTCAAAGGAACAAACAAAAAAATGCTCTGAAGTTTAACGCGCTCTTATGGAAATGTTTAAACTTCCGAGTGCAGACCAAAGGGGGTTTTATTGTCAAATCTTAGGTCCTAAGAGGCCTTAAGGTTTTTGATTTATCAAATTTAGAGGTTTTATCAGCATCTATTGCTGAGTGAATTTGAATTGAGCTGCGAGCTTCAGATTCAAAAGAGTTCACCCAAAGGCTCAAAAAATTTATAACCACGAATAGCTAGTCAGTGAGTGAAGTCAATCCATTCTTAAACTGAAGTTCATATCTTGACACTGTTCTTCACTTAACAGAGACATTATATCACATCATCAACATGCCAATCTTTACCAATCTACGACCATTTGTTCGACTCTTTTCAACTCAGCCAGTTCACCATTTTCCACTTCAACCCGCTAAACAAAGAAAGACAACACCTTTTAGGCATCCAAAGCGCCCTCATATCATCGATCCTATCAACATCGATCCCACTGCTCGAGTCTTCTCCTTGACTGAGGATCCCGACATCTTATTTGTGGTTAGAGAACCGAAAAGTCTCAAGACATTGGATTACGGAAGTCTCTCCCGCGACCCATTCGAGTCTCTCGAAGGCGAACCAAATCCATCTGACTCTACACCATCATCTCATTTACCCGGGCTATCACATCCGATCCTTTCTGCCGCCTCACCAACGGTATCTACATACCTTCCACCACCTCTTCGCTCTCCTCCTCAACATCCCGAGTCACTCACTCCTGAAATTCTTCAAGAAATCCGTTTGCTGAGACCTACTCATTCTTTAACACAACTGAGTAAAAAATTCGGTGTTTCTCGGATCTCGATTCAAATGTTAGGGTTTGGTGATGAAGAATCTAGAACTCAGATTGCTTTACGAAATGAGCTTAGAAATCAACGAAGGGAGAAACGATGGAGTGTGTCAAAATTGGCTCGGAGGGAGGAGAAGCGAGCTAGGCGAAGCTTATGGTGATCAGTCATTCTGTGTAATCCAAAAAACCGTAGAGGAATCTTTTACATCTTGGCTTCTTCGTCCTTGCGGGCTATCAAAATCAGGAGATAGTATGACCATAAATAACCACTGCCCTGGTGGCACGTCTCTGACTCCCGAGGCCAAATTTTGCCGTGTGCCTATGAAATATGTGAGAGCATGCTTCGGATTGTTGTGATTGTGTTCGGACCACCGGGAGTGCACTTAGTGCGGGAGCTTGGGTCTCTATTTTCATGCCATCGCGTAGTAGGAGAATATTACCGGGTGTGCAACTCTGAAGACGGCTCCGCCTGTGTCCTTCATAGCATATTTTGCGCCCAGAGGCGACTTATGCCCTCTCTACAGACTGCAGCCAACTTTGATGGGTAAGCACAAGTCTATGTATGAATGAAAGTCGCTTCTCGGCAATGACGGCACGGAAGCCAACAGCCATCGGACTGCTAACACTTGAGCTGGTGAGTGGCTCGTGACCAATCTTTGAAGTTGCAAGAAAACTTTAATCAAATTGGTGAGATGAGATTCACTTGGGTCTGCGTTCTGATTGTAATCACGCTACTTTCTCCCTCTTTCTCAATCAAAAACCGCTTCGATTCAAGCCGGCCAACGGCTTTTTATGAAACTGAACTCTATACACGATTTTAACGCTGGCGAGGAATAGGACACTAGAAAAAATTGGAATATTCACACAGAGACGTTTTCAAACACTGAGTCGTACGTGATGTTTATTAGGATATTACCGGTGCATATAGGTAGACAAACTTGAAGGCTGATTCTAGAAGATGAGTAGGTGATGGATTTACCGTGACGCGATCTTGCTTCCGATAGGTACTCATTGGGTTCTCTCACTCTTTGGGTAAACAAAGGAGACTCCTGTGTAAATAAAAGTCATCCTCCTAGATCATAGCCAATCTCCTTTCAATGGATTCACCAGATTAGGCTTATCTATGAATTCATTTCAATCTTAACGGTGGGTGAATTTTGCTGAATCAAGAACCATGGAACGAGTGTACATCGCTGATGAATAACGAACCCCAACACCTTGGGTGTTTGGGAATGCGAAACTATTCAAGAGGTGGTGACATTCTATCGGTTCGAACATCCTTCTCAGCCTTGCTCGCCTTACCTGTTCTTCTTCGACCGGTTGTGGTGTTATAGGATACCACTTATACCTTGAGCCCTACATCCCGCAATACTTTCACTTTTGCAAAGTTCATCTGTGACTGTTTGCTCACAGGAATCGCTGCGATTTCAGGAGGTTCAAGCTGATTGGATAGCACACTCTAAAGATGAAGGGGGAGATCTTAACAATTGTCATGTGAGTAAATAGGATGTCATTCTTTCTGCTTAAGTCTCGAAAGATCCAGAGATTTTACGATGAAGACTGACTCAGCTCATAAACATTTAAACTCGCATAAATACCACCCATAGCACCGTGGTTGGATGTATAGGTCAGGTGAGTTGCAAACCCCTTCCAGCTGCATGTCTCATGAGGTGGCAGCATTCTAATTGTTTTATATTCATATCTGTCTTGACGGTGATAGAATGCGGCCCTCTGTGTAAGGCATTTCCTCCATGTTCTAGAGTGAGCAAGTTCGTGAAGCGCAAAAGACTTGGCACTCAGTCGAACGAGACTTCTTACCATTCTACTCGACTCATTCAACTAATCATTTGACATTTTTCAGCTTGCTGGTTATATCTCTGCAATGCGTGGACTCATAGATGCGGATTGTCGAAAAAGGCTTAATAGACTGAATATGTGAGCTAAAGAGAAAATCACCTACCTATGAGGTCACACTGAAACTAATGATTAGAAAAACTTGCGGGTTTTGAAGCTGTTTGTTCACCCCAGCTCTTTTGTTTGGAAAAGTTGCTTTCAGTCTCACACCAGATACATTGAAGAGCTTATGGGGTACGTCACACCCAGATATTCTTCTCAGTTTTCTAATCCTGCATAGATTTTCAAACGACTGATGTTTGCTCAATTTTCAATCCGTGGTTTGATTGGCGCTGGGTTACAGTTGTTCCAGTAGGATTCTTTCTTGTTACCGGGTTATCTGCTCTCGCCGGTTTAATACTTTCAGGTATCTTTAGAGCGAACACAAGCCAGAGAGCCATCATTGTGTCTGGTTCAATGTTCATGAATACCAACACTATTCCAGTGGCTCTGATACAGAGTCTTTCAATGTCTCTGCCGATCTTGAAATCAAACCCGGATGACAAAGCCGAAGATGTGAGCGTTCTGGTTCTTCTTATCTATTTTATCCACCTAGTTGACGATGATCTTACACCGAATATTTTCTCAGCAATTAGCAAGGGCTCTTTCATATCTGTTGGTATACGGACTTCTGGGATCATTTGTGAGGTGGTCGCTTGGGGTCAAACTTTTTGAATCAGCCAATGAAAAAATGGAACAGATGCTATCAGACGCAAAACATGTTCATGAGATCGACGAAACCAAGTCCAATTCGAGTTTATCGAAGCCCACTCTCACTACGCCCTCTTCGGACGGCCAGAATCCCGTGTATCTGCATGAAAATCTTGATATCACAAGCTCACTCACATCACAAGCTCTACAATCTCCGCTGATCACTAGTGAAATAAGGTCTCCGAATGAAGATACGATACGGACACCTTTTTTGGCTCAAAATGAACGCGGCTCAGAAAACTGTAATTTGTAAGCTTATCGTCACATTTTTGCCAATATATTTTATCTCGCTAAGAATTGCTCGATTCCTCTCAACATGTCTGTACATTGAAGTAATTCGACTTGCTCCTGTGAATCGTGTAACTTGAACAAAGGAACCAGATTTGAAGATGAACCGGCGTGTTTCCAATCACCAAACAGAGGATCTACACTGACAGAAAAGACATTGGTCGACACCCCACCTATCGCAAAAGATCTCGAATCCGAAGTCCCGATAAATGATTCATTCCATCAAAAAATAAGTAAGGGTTTTCTCCAGGTCTCGAAGGGCGTGAAGGACATCTTGAATCCACCGTTGTAAGTGAAAGACCTCTAACTACACATGAACCAGCGTAGGAATCAGACTCCTGAATAAACTTCGATCAGCTGATGTCAAAGGACTTGCAATAGAATTTCAGCCACGGCAGCCGTCATTGTCGCGTGCATACCACCAGTCCAAGAGTTTTTGGGGAAAATATCGCCTCTACGTCAGTGAGTTATCATTCTATTTACAGTATGAGGCACGTAGCAAATGACCGATGGCTGTATCTCCACTTCTGAAATCCACAGTTTACTCAATATTGCAGGAAGCGTTTCAATTCCTCTGACTCTGATTGCTCTAGGTGAGTTTTGGCTTTGAAGATGAATCATCAAGATCCCTCATATCACTCACAACTAAAAAAATGCATCTTCCGTTACAGGGGCATATTTCTATCAACCTCTGGCATCTGAAATCGATCTAGAATCAGCTACCCCTATTTCGAAAAGTCCAACTCAAATTTCTCAGACTCAAGGGGAAAACAAAACGATAATCTTAACTCTGGTTTCTAGACAATTGATCACACCTCTCATCTTTATTCCAATCCTTGCATATCTCGTTATTTATAGTCATATTCTCGTATTTAAAGATCCTATCTTTGTCATGACGGCTGTATTAGTGATCGGTGGACCACCTGCGACCACTTTGGCTCAGATGAGTTCAAGGACCTGTGCTGATTTTGATAGGATGATCTCACGGATGCTTTTTTGGTCATTCTCATCTGTCACGTGAGTATATGCTTCGAAAGATAATTATGAGTGCAACGCTGTTTCAAAGCTTACGTGCTGATAGAACCTGCCTTCCAGTCCACTTACGACGATGGCGCTTACAGGTGCTGCACTTTATATACAGCAGCTTTCTCTTCGTTAAACGCGACTCTTCAAGATTTCTTACCTTGAATATTATCATGAGGAGAAAAATTTTCACCCTCACCCAACGAGTGCGGATCGTATCCCTGATATGGTACTACAGAAGTCTCACCCTGAGAACTTTTACTAACCCATGGATCGCAAGTCACATCAATCTAGGTGAATTGTCAATTCAAGTTGGTTTTTCTCAAGAACTGGTGTTTCCTAGTTTAATCCAATTCCGTTGAACCATATAGCAAATCTTTCTCAACTTTTCTTGTATCTTAATTTATTATTGATCATTGTAAAATTTTAAAAGCAGAGCTACTTGACTCTGAGTAGTAAAAATAGGTTTAGGTGAACTTTTACTTTGTCACATTTTCTATCATGATATGTTTTTGATGAAAAAAGTATCTAGTTGAGCACAAAATATGTATATCAGAATCAGCTTGCTGGATTTTTCTTTTGCTGTGAGTGGTATGTCAGACTATGATCTGGTGGTGATACAAATTACAACTTGGATGATCCTACAAACTCCGAGTTCTATCTTCCCAGGGACATAGCTTCATTCACCTCAGATTTAGATATTGGGATGTTTGTACTCTCAAAAGTCACATACCTTGACTTTATCTATCTGGTGATGTAGGCCACTGGCCCCACTGTTAAATAGATGCTAGGAAAACTCCACGCAACCAGCTTTGAAAGAAACCCCGAAAGCATGTGGTTGGGTTCACTTCTTCTGCCAGATTTCATGACCTGAAAACTTATCTCTTAGACAGGGAAATCAACAAGTATAAAGAGGTATTTAGCCCATACAAAGTAGAAGTTACTCATTCCAGTTAATATATTCCGTATCATTTTTTCAGCTCACTGATTTGCTAAGACTCAAGAAATACAACTTATTAACTGCTACATTGAAAACGTCCACGATCATCCTTCTGAAGAGATAAAAAAGAAACACAGCTGTCTGCGCAACCGAATATCAGCTATTACGTTAAACTCTGCCAAAACGATAAGATTACTGATATACATATCAAAAAGAAAAAAAACGTCCTAATATATTTTTACAATTTATAGATTACATAGGGTAACAACACCCATCTGTCTGGCTGATATCCATCGGAATTGAGTGAAAAATGGTCAAGGAGATTTTAAGGCGTAGCAAAGAAACCTTCGAATTCTTCAATACTTCGAACCCCTCCAATAATTCCATAAAGACCTTGTGCTTCTTTTGCAATATTCTCTAATTGTCTAATCACATTTTTCATGGCAACAGCATATGCAAAGAACAAGAAATCGTGTTGAGAATTATCGTTATCAGAGATCGCTCGAACACGGCTTAAAAGTCGTTGACGTGCTTGTTCTGCAGGTGGAAGAAATGGTGGCATCGGACTCTTCAACTCAATAGCCGTAGAAAGTAAACCAAAGAGTAAAAGAACATTCCCGACCATCGTTCGACGTTCTGCTTGAGCTGGTAACACAAACCGAGGTCTAACTGAAGTTCTCCATGCGTCTCGATTGGTGACGGCCCACATAGAGTGGAGCATGTCGAGCAGTTGTTGACAGGAGGCTAACATGGCTTGGTAGCGGCCGGTTGGGAAGGCACCTTTCAATCGTGGCTCGTGTTTGGTAGCGGATAGTAATTCAAGAAGTCGGTTCAGCTGCATGGATCCATGGATTAGACAATCTTATTCAGGCAAACGGAGACAATGATCAGAATGGTCACCTTGACTTGTAGAAATAGCTCCATATTCGAGAATTCGCAGATGTGGAGATCTGAATGACCTTGCTTTGGGTCATTCAAAAGTAGCGGCGCACACTCATCCACGTTGATGGATTTCGAAGCAATAAGAGTGCTCTCGGATTCTGAGTGTTCTAAAGGTTCTAAAGGTTCGGGAGTTTCGGAATATCGTTTGACAAGGAATGAATACAAAAACGCAGATTCCAATAAAAACCTGATAGAGAGCTTCAGTACGATTTTTCGAAAGTTGAGAATAAGATGAAGATGACTAACTCTGAGAGGCATGTGCGAAGTTCACGTCGCGCCTTGTAAGGCCAGACAAAATTATTGACAATCCATCCAAATACGACGCCCACCAATACACACTGCAGGTACATAGTTCAAAGATGTTTTAGCTTCCTGAACTCAAGTTTGGATTCTGATTGACTTACTACCACTCTGCGGTAGGCAGTGACCAGGATATGAACATCGTCGTCGCGAACGTTGTAGGAATACACGCAAACAAGGTTGTAAGATAATAGGACGAAGCGTCCAGTGGATGCATATGCCGGCTGTGTGACGATCAGCCAGTAACAAGGCAGTGAAAAGATGAAGCCAATGATAGGCAGAACCACCGGATTCTCCCAAAACAAGTGATAGGCTAAGATAGCGAATCCTGAGCCAAGCAAAGTCCCTACTACTCTCATGACGGAGAGAAAATTGGTCTGTACGGATGAGAAGATGCGTTTTCGTAAACGGTCAGCCGAGTGCCTTTGATGTCAAGAGACGCTGAGATCTAGGAGTAACTGACTTGACCCAACGTGGATGCCATAACGATCACATACTGACAGCAAATCAAGACAACTTATAAGTTTCAAGCCACACAAAAAAGATTACAGATATACATACAGTAACAATTGCCCACTGGCCTCGGTATTTATGAAACAGCGGTCGGGTGACATCCAAGAATGCCGGGAAAGCCATCACAGCTGCACCACCGCCAACTTTGATGGCCGTTTTCATATCTGGATCGCCGAGACTCTGGAAAAAGTCATATAAGACCCGCTTGATTCGATCAAAGGAAGAATTAGGAAGTGCGCGGTTTTGCTCCCCCGCCTGTTTGCCTGAATATGTCGCGGGGAATGGTCGCAACTTCTTAGGGTCCTGTGGCAAAACCGCAGCTAGGCACAGGGGAAGATGATCAAATCAGTGTCGTCAGGTTGCATAGGTTTTCTCCAAACTACCTACTAAGTTTAGGCCTCATTTGGCGCGCTCGAGGCTTGGGTCCAGTCTCGGATGTGGTGCCAGGCTGAACACGGAATAAATTGCTCAGGTCGAGTCGTTGGTACAGCTGTCGCCACCATTTACGCGTCTCGTATTCCAATGCCTCCTCATCGGCACGAATGTCAGCAAAGATCTCCAGTAAATGACACAATTCTCTCATGAACTCTTCCTGTAAAAAAGATGGAACACGGTAAACCCAATGAATGTCTACATGTCCAGAACCTCTTCCAAGACAGGTATTGAGATTAGGAACGGACCATATTGAACAAAAAGAAATACATCAGGAAGATCTCTTCGTTGCGATTCGGCTCTAGCGTTCCAACTACGTCTGCAAAGGGGTCGCTTTGGTCATATGGATGGGCTGTTGAGTTTGCACGAGTAGACATTGCAAAGTTTTCAAATAGTCGTTTCATGGCACTCGAATGAACGTCTTGGAATGTTTCTAAAACTTGTTGCAACTGAGAGCGCATATGCATTAATGCGTCGATGCTTTCACCGGGTTCGATGTCGATGGGGTTGGCAGACGAATGTGCAGGTTTTTTCTTGTGTCCAGAGCTTTTGATTTCATGGAAACAAGCTGTACCGGAGGCCTAAAAGCGTCAGGACATCGCAAAATATTATGAACTTTGTATCAAGCGAGTTTGACAAAAGCGTGTAACGCACCATGAGCGTTTTGAGACTTGGCCCTACAGTCTCACAAAATGCAGTGAATACTTCCTTGACGGGTCCCAAAGGTTCCTGATTGCTGATGTTAGACAAGAGACTTTGAGTATCAGTGTCACGATTAGCGTGTGGCTGATGCCTTGCAGCTTCCATGAGTTCGTATTGCAGCCCACAGCCACTTCTCAAGCCCGTCAAATGCTGAGCGAGACGATTCATCGAAGCAACCAACTCTTGATAGCTTGCTTGAGACTTTTGTATGCGTGGTTCAAAAAATTCGTAAGACGCAGCGTCAAGTGATGATTTGAGTGAAGTGAATGATGCGTGATGTCGGTCGATTGATTCCATCAATGACTCCTGATCGGTATATATTGACTCATCTAATAGGAAGGTTTTGGTGAGCATTCCGAGGAGTGTTGAGAAAGAATCCAAAGTTTTGTCGATATCCTTTTGAAGACGAGTGGTCGCGCTTCCTCGCCAAAAGCCAAGACACACTAAATTACTGATGAACATTCCAATTACAATTATCTCCGAATAAATCAAACTTTTCTCGAAGTCGATATAGCCGTAATGGATGGATCCTTCACGAGTGATGATGACCGAGGAAATTACGCCAATTATGCTGCATGTTGACGCGAATCCTAGATTGAAACCCCACAAAGCAGATGAGCCATTTTTTAGAACGAACTATCAAGAGTGAATAGCACAGACGGCTATTTTCTTACGATGTCGAGACAAAGAAATAGACACCTGGTGATTTTTGCTTGACCCAATTCATCGTACCAAATCCAAAGCCCACAAAGACAAGTAAGACTATGGCATGTGAAACAATGCGGCTGTGAATAAGTACAGCCGTCATTGTAGAGCCTACAATCATGACCGCGAGCCAGATAAGACCCCACAGGGCATAATGATTTGCCTGCATCATGGCACCAACAGTGGCAGCTGGTCGGTAATGAGTGACAATCGTAGCCACAACATGTGCACCTGAAAAGGGTCCATCGAGACCAAACGGACGGACTAGAAGATCTGAGAGCGGGTCGTAAAACGAGAAGAGCGAAGCAATGAGGTAGGCAATCGAGCACTTCAAGATATTGCGAAAGTTTGATCGGAAGCTGGTCGGGAGCAGTTCCTTCGATGAAGAGGCTACAGCTAGTAGATATAGCCAGAGGTTGGATAACTTCCCAGATAGGCTACTTGTCTGACGCCGTCCGGCTGGTGAGATTGAAGAAGCCGTTGTACGAGAATGCACAGATTGCGGATATTCGAAACTGAGAAAAGTGGTTGGTTCTTCTTGGATTGGGTGGCCAGGTGAAGTAAATTGAGATAATGGGCGATTACTATGTGTTCTGGTGGACGTCCTACCTCGCATCGCAGATGGTGGCCGAGACTCTTCTGACATACTACGACAGAAATCTTCTTGATCCATCACCGCGCCAAAGACAGCCCAGGAACTCATACGACGCATTTGATTGTCCTCTCTCTGAGATTGATGGAAGCTCCTTCGGACGATATTAGAATTTGAAGCAACATTACTACGCCTGGGCCTTGATAGGGGAGGTAATGAAGGATTGGGAGAATCCATGATGTGAAGGTGAAGTGGTGCAGAAAATGATGTCAGGAGTCGACTCGCAGTCGAGGACTTTAAAGTTTCAATCAACTTCACATCACATCTCACAACCTCCCCAAGACCGACGGATCACAAACACAGTTTACGCGGCTCGCGGTACACCCGGAGAGCTACCCCGGCCAATACATAATATATTGCATCCTCTGCCCACCGTCACGCAGGCCACAAAGCAACCACCCAAGAAGTATTGAAATCTGTTGAAGTGCCATAGGGAAAGGAACTTCAATTTTGTAGGATTTATTCGACCAATGCTGAGAGCACCTTTGTATGGGAAGTTGTAGAGACATTATTTTTGGTTTCCTTGAAAACAGGCAGTATCATCATTCATGGTGAGCTTTTGTGTCTACTCTGATTTAAGGAGTTCTGAAAGGCCCTTGAAGAATGCTTAGCTGGGACTGTAGAAAATACAAGATTGATTTCTAGTGATTCAGATGAGAGTCTCAAGACAGTGGCCATTTTCGTGTGATTCTGTGCTCATAAAACTTCTGATGGATTTGTCCAAGTAAGTATGAGCTTCATGTCCAAATATTTGAACCCTCTCTATCTCTTCTGCTTTCACACTGCTTGTCTCAAGTATGATCTCATTGAGTTGTTGAGCTAGGTCTAGCTTTGTAATTTGTTCTGGAGACATCTCGTCTGGCATCAGCGATCCATAAAATTTCAGTGCAACTGCACTCTAAGTATACCGCCCCTTCATGTGTATGAGAAATGTTTTGTTCAGCACTGTAACCCCGCATCAAAAGATTGTGCTTGGATGGCAATTGCCTTGGATATGGCGTCAAAGCAGTCAATTCATTTCAGGGTCAACAAACACCCCCATAACACACTTATGTTCATTAAATTCTGATTCGTAACGCCCGATCCAGACGGAACGCATCAAGATATCGCCAACTTCACGCGCGGCTCAGCACAGCAATGTCACGGCATATCCAACTAAACAAGGCTTTCACTAGCTGATTTGATATCATCTACTTGTCGGGCATGATCGTGATCAAGGACTTAAGAAGCTGCTGGCGGGATCTCCATTGGATCAGACGCCTTCAGGCGCTGCTTTGTCTTAACCCAATAGACCACTAGGGTGGTCGTTTGGTAAGTGGAATATCAAGTGCAAAGTGTTTTTGAATCAGAGCCAAAGCCGGTTATTCGAGGTGTGATGTTTAAGATTCAGGAGTATTGGGTACTTAGCTTTGTTGTCGCTCGTCATAGCCAATCATGCTCAGCTCGATCAAAAACTTTGGAGAACATATGTGGAATATTGCAATCCGATCGATCCGAACAACTTCCATAAATGACCAAAGTAATTATCTTAACCAATCGAAATGCTCGGTGAATGATCATCGATGAACTCGGTTTTGGGGCAGGGACACATTGGGAAGTTGAATATGTAATGATAGGTGATGACACCATTTAAGACCTGGATTCTGGGATGTGGCTTACCCCGCGTCTACCCCAAATTCCGTTGGACTAATGCAGCATTCATGCCAAGAGAGCTCAGCACAAGCTGGCCGACTTCAAGTTTGAAGTCTTGCACTGGTAATCTTGACCACGTGCTCTCCAAGACCCCACATCCCAATGACTCATCAAGCCGGTGTTTGCCCTTCCACTCAAGTAATGCCAAGAATCCAAGATACTCTACCGGCGAGCTTCAAAGGCTAATCATCTCCTTCCTGATGGCCCCGAATAATGCTGAGCGACCTAGCCTGGGTAACTGCCGAGGTATAGAATTTTTTGAGGGTGAGGTGCATGCGCCCCCCGTTTTGGCGCGAAAGCTCACCCAGCAAATCAATGCGGCAATAAACATATCGCGTACCTCCTCATCTGTTGTGTGCGCTGCCCCACGTTCGTAAATTTCTGAAAGCCTCACCTGGGGAGCTTTTCAAACCCAGCTATTTTTGGAAATTCTCTGAAGTCTTGGAGAGACAATCGGGGGTTGGCGGTGAAGCCTATAAATAAGAGACCGTGTGGCCATCGCAAACCTCCTTGTCTCTTCAACTCAGCATTCACTCACATTTGACCCATAGCTACAATTGGCAACATCGAACGGTGCTGCTGTCTCTTTGAATACTTCATAGCTGTCAGTGGCACCCTTTTAAACCCAACAGAACATCGACTCTTGGGATTCACTCCTGACCCGGTGGGGCTACTTCGATTCATCGCTGTTGATGTGAGCAATTTCCCTCCCCGCCTTCTTTTTATAGCTTTGCTTCAGCTTCACGCACATTTACACTCTTGAACTCAATTATGCGATTAACCTTTTGCAATCTTCCGATTAGATTCGAATTAATTTTCATCCCCCCAAACCGACGTCATCGGCGATTATTGATGACTTCTTGTCTTAAAGGAGCTAGAGTGACAAAGATAGTTAAATAAAGGAGTCTTAACACGTGCTTAACACACAGGATTCGACGCGTATTAGAACTTGTCAAAGTCATCTTCAAACACTGTAGATTCCTACTTTTATCTAGCCGGTCTTGCTTTATTATACATACAGCTTTCTTCAATCTCTCTGAAGAGCACTGTCCCACTTTTTTATGTTCTCGGGGAGCGCCGTCTACTTAGGTCACCTTCAGTATTAGAATTCCTACTTTGACGCCTTGCCAGTATGACTTTGTAGCACAGAATCTTAGTAAAGCCTCCCATCAATCGTAACTTCCATCTTGCTTCACTTCCTTTCATACCGATCGCTTTATCTCAAAAACTTCATTGGGGCCAAAAACTCCAGAACCTCCCACTAAATCTTTTACATCGTCGAGCGGCTTCACGTCAGCGCCTTTCAACGCCCCACAGTCTCGTCGATCAAAATTTAGGCAACATACGCGAGCCTAACTCCTTTTATTTACACGCGGTCTCGTCACAGATATACGATGCAGGTACGAATGGAGAAGAAATTAATGCCGATGAAACCCTTTGGTTTTCTGAAAGCTATCAAGCAACGCTTCCAAAGAAAAAGTTTTACATCATCATCTGATGCGCCCGAGCCCGAGGTGGGCATGGAGCCGTCAAAGAATCCTACTCTGTTGACCAATCTCAAACGAGCCCTTCAGTCTTCCCCTGAGCTGGTCCAGAACAAGTTAATGAGCTCAACAAGCACCCTCAGCTCACGCCTTTCGTCTCCTACTCGCTCGTCTCTTGAATCTAGTCAAAGATCGCATAGCAACTTTGCCCGGATCATGGACATCAACTCGAGAACCACAGTGATCTTTGAGCCTATGCGAGGTCGTAAACAAAGTAATTTCCCACTCCGCCAAGCTTCTGATATGTCCTTTGTTCGACCTCTTCGCCAAACTCGTTCTCTGGCTGAGTGCGCGGTCCAAAGCCCGAACCTTCTGCCCACCATCACGATCACCACGCCGGAAGACGACGAGCGCTATGTGCTATTCTCTCCCAAGTCTGACGAGCCTGACCACTGCCATCTGGCTGTTCCGACCCTGGGATCTCGAAACTGGCCCCATCCGGCGGGACCTTGGCTTCGTGCTTCCGAGGATGTAAACCCCCTGGCCTCCAAACATAGCTATCGCCTCTCGAATGATACTCTTGTACGATGGCCAGCTGGTCGAAACTCACCTCCTCGGCTCATGACCGATGACCAACGTGAAGCAATTGCCTTGGTCGAACAGATCAATTTGAATCTTGAAATGGCACAGACTGCACTTTACTCGCGGCTTCAACCGCCTTGCTTGGATGAATGGGCCGAAGAATTTGATGATGATGAATATGATGATGACGAGGAAGAGTTAACGACATGGAGCCAGCAAGACAATCAATGCGTATGTCAATGATGCTTGCGAATTGATTCTGTGACTTCACAATTTCTGACAGTTTATTTTTCACTTTTAGTACCATCGTTTTCCGGCTGTTGTTAGTGATAATGAAGACTACGACATTGAGACGATCGAGATGATTGAATGAAACGAACATGTGTCCGTCTTGAAGAAATTAGAAAATATTTGTGTAAGCTGATTTCTGTTGTGCCCTCAACTTGAACAGAAAAAATCAGAGAGACTTGAGTTGACAGTGTTTCATTTTTACACCTACGATCTATAGTACTTTTGTTTGTTGGTAAAAGAAAATGCTTTAGAATGCAAAATAATAATTTGAGAAATATGCAATCACCTTTCAAAGAAAAAAACTTCGATACCCTCTGATACTTCATGGTCTCAATTTGCTTGTCCGTTTCTACTTCTTGCTTTCGGGCTTGTCAAACACTGGGTCCCGTCTTTTTTTTTCCAAAAGCTGTTCCTGAGGAATGGATTTTCAAACTATCTTATGCCTGTATCATCAATACGTTATGTTTCTTTTATCATGACTTTTGAAACCATTTTTGTATCAAGTTTGCCTTGTATATCATCTTTCGCAATAAAGTGAGTTCTGCGTGGCATAATCTTGCTCAGTGAGAATTCTTGTAGCTCTTGGAAATTGAATAATCAAGACGTCCTTGGAGCTCAAACTTTGGACACGGCAAGACGCTAAGACTTGAAAATCAATGAGCGGTGTGTTAGGAAGCTAGTATTTCTTGGAAGATGTGTGGTCAGACATCACATTATTCTGGTGCTCATCCAGGTCCCTTTGATCTATGGGGCGCGGCTTACACATTTCCAGTGCAAGCCATCAAGTCTACTGATTAGATGCATGTCACCAACACTATGACCCCGTGAAAATTCTTTGACTCTTGAATTAAATTGGCCAATGAATTTTATGTTGTTTTTCTACAATGCTTCCAGTTGTTGTTCTTTCAGAAAATGGTAGTTTTTATATATACTCTTGACCAACCTTTGATAATTATCATAGGGGCTGGTTGATTTAACACACCAAGAACTAATGTTACTCACATTTAACCTCTACCTTGTGCACCATATAACATATTCAACCTAAAGATTCTGGAGCTCAATACACTGATCAATTTATGATGTGCTGTTTTGATTTCTGGCATAGTTTTGGAGCACAAATCAGCTGACTTGAGTATACATCAAGGCTGAATAGTCCCCTGATTATCTTGTTCCATTGCAAAAGCTCTTTGATCCAAAATGAATGTTCTTAACGGATGTAGTGGGATGGACATACAAGTGTTTCTTCAATAAGCAGTTTTATTGACACTATGTAGATACTTTTTTGAAAGTTGCTTGTAATGAGGTTTATGAGGAGGATAGAAAAAAAAGAGAATTGGGGTGATTTATGACAATGGAAAGAGTTTAAGAGAAGAAGTCCACAGCATGCAATCCCTAACAATCAAAGAAGAATATATTCAATCCATCTGTAAGAGATTCAAACAAAAGTGAAAGATACCAAGAAACAAAACAGTGATGGATCTGTTTCAATCCAGATCAATTACTTGTTCATTCTTAAATCAATGAAATCAATTCCAATCCAATTCAATAAATGTTTTTTGACTGATAAAACATTTTCCAATTTCTAATTCTAATAAACACGTCTTTTCAATTCAAAATTTGAACAAAATAACCAAAATCCAATGATCAAGTGATCTCACCAACCAACCGAAGAAAAAATCGAAACAAAACAAACCAAGTTTTGTTGACCTACTTATGAAAAATCTTAACCATTTTTTTCTTTCCAAAGAAGTTTAAGCCACTTCACCATCTTCCATCCTCGTACTTTGATTTAAGCTTTCGACTTTTTCCTCACCCACTTCGTTTTTTATACTTTGATTTGACTTCATCTCTTCACCATCTTGTGATCCAGGAGTGCTCATCTTCATATCTATTTGCATATCAGAAGAAGCTAATTCTCCATCCACCTCTTGATCTTCCTTAAATACCAAATCCTCATGGGTTGTAATAGGATGTTCAGTTTTGATATGTTTGTTTGGTGAAGGTAATGATAAAACTCCTTCACTTAATGTTCTGGGTCTTTTTCGTATCGATTCTTCTTGAAAAGATTGGTTAGTTGTTGTTTCAGTTTCATTTGATGTTTCTATCGGATTTGCTCCAGCAGGACTAAATAATGGGGTGGTGCTGGGTTCTAGATTCTCTGTGTTTGATACAGCCGAGAGTGGTACATCGATGGGCTGAGTCGTATCATCTGATACCAGACCAGTAGGGTTTGTAGCATAATCGGCAACCGTATCAGGCTTGATGTCAGTGCCAATTTCAGAATTTGCAGCCGCAGCTCCAATATCAGACTTGGCATCGGCACCTCCAATATCAGACTTGAAGTCAGTAGCACCGATATCAGACTTGCCGTCAATATCAATATCAGGCTTTGCTTCAGTTTCCAATCCAGGCGTAGGACACCAGAGCTGTGAGGAGCCAGATGATCGAATAAGGCCAGGGATCTAATGTAATACGCAGATACAGAATCCATGTTAGCGGAGAAGATGAGTTTTCAAGCTTGAATGATAAGTGTCCAAAGGTAGACATACCTTTTGGACTTGTTTGAGGACACGAGGTGCAACTGAATCATTGTATTGTTCTAGTATGGTGTTTGCTGCATCTGTGTGAGAAAGTCGCGTGATCAGGCAATCAAATACTTCGATTAAGATGAAGGGTGATCAGCGAAAGCAGACGCGACCGACCATGAACTTCAGCTAGGGTTTCAGCTCCAAATGATTTCCACCATGGCTCGTATGGATAGGCGATTCCTGGCGCAGAGGGTCTAACTAAACGATCGATATCGGCCAAAAGAGGAATCGCTTGAGGATCATTTTGATCAATCGAGTTGGATTCATGATTCAGATCTGATTCGAGTGAAGAACCTTCGATAGCACGATGTGAGAGAGCAATGAGAAAAGCAGCGGCAGCGACCACCGAAGGATTCGTGGTGATACATAAAGTTGTCATTAACGAATCATTCACAAATGACCAAGCAGATTGAGCCATCGATCTAGCTTTCATCGAATTAGAGAAATCGATAAAAGCCGAAGGTGTATAAGAATTCACAGATGTAGTCGAACTTGCAGCTTCGAGACACTTTACATGAAAATCCTTGACAGTATGAATCAGAGGTAAATAAGGATGATCGACAGCCAAATCGAAACAAAGCGTTCGAAGTAAAATATCTTCATAATATAGTATATGATGTTTCAACCGTTCAAAATCCTAAAAATCCAACCAGTTTAGAAGGGTTAATGGCGCGATCAGTAAGCAGAAATATCCAAAAGTTAAAGAATACAAACAGGTAAATGAAGTGTGATTTAATCTACTTTTGGATCTTCCGAACCATTCGAGTTCTCCGACTGAGAGTCAGTACCAAGTTTAAGATATTCTTTGACAACATATTCCAATTTCCTTGGTACTTCTTCCACTTTAGTTGCCAAAAAGAAAGCCGTTGCACTGATTTCTTTAGTAGGATATTTCTGTAATGATTTTCTCATATAAAATCGATGTAAATACGTAGCTGCTGTTGCTATGATGATCTGAGGTAATGCTAATGAGATTGCAGCTTGTACCATCCAATAAACTGCTCTACTTCTTTCGTGTGATTCGGTTTGCCATGACATTCCTTGTTTTTGAGATGGCGTATGTTTGAGTGATTGAAGTGACCAGATCCATTGTTGTTGTGGTATGTTAGTATCACCTGCAGTTGAATGAGAAGGTCGATTACTTGGTTTGAAAGGTGGTGGTGGACAAAAGTAATCAGTCATTCTTGATTCTTGAAGTTGAACTCGAATCTAATATTCGAATGAACAGCTGAAGGTGGGCCAGTGAAGCCTCAGGCTCAGCCAAAGGCCCAATATCAGGTGGTATGTAAATGTACGACATGTAACACTATATGTAATCTACTCAGGAGTCAGGAGTCAGCACATGTAACATGTCATTTTGATTCGATTCTTCTGTAAAAAGTTTTATTGACTCAAGCACAGAAACTATTTTCATTCAACTTCAACTTCACCAATTACTTTCCAAAATGTCAGAAAAACCCATCAAATTAACCAAAAAACAGCAAAAAGCAGCAGCCTTCAGAACCAAAAAGAAAGGAAAAGCAATCCTAGAAGAACCATCAGCATTTCCAGAAGCAGATGAAGAAGAAAATGAACCGATCATACCATCCAAATCAACCAAAGAAACAAAAGATAAATCAGAAAAGATTATCAAATCAAATAAACGAAAACGAGAAGATAATACTTCGACTTCGAAAACTAATAAAACAAATGAAGAAGAAGAAGGAGAAGAAGGAGATAAAGTGATAGGAGCAGCAGCTATAAGAAGAAAACGAAAAAAAGCAGCACAAGCTAGAAAATATGAAGAAGAGAAAATCAAAAAATCATCGAAATTGATTTTGTTTGTTGGAAATTTACCATTTGATATGACGAGTGAAAAACTCACATCATTTTTCTTAGAACATTGTGGTACGTTTTCCTATACCGATCTCAATTCTTTTTTATTTGCGAAAATATTCATTTATTTAATCTGATGATATGGGTTTGATTTGGATGAATCAATAGAGGAAGAACCAGAAGTACGATTAATGACACATAAATCGACCAAGAACGAAACTGGACAACCCACAAATGCAACTAAAGGATGTGGATTTGTCGAATTTAAAACCTCAGCTGCATTACAAAAAGCCTTAAGATTACATCATACACCGATGAATTGTGAATCAACAGGACAAGAAAATCAAAAGAAATCCAGAAAGATCAATATAGAATTAACGGCCGGAGGAGGAGGTAAATCAGAAAGTAGATTAAAGAAAATCGAAGTATCAAAAGAAAGATTAAATAAACAACGTGAGAAACGGATAGAGAAGAATTTGAAAGAGATCACAGAGAAAAGATTGAAGTATGGACTTGAAGCTTTAGAACCTGGTGAAGAAGATGTGACCGTTAAGTTTGGGAGCAAAAAGAAATCCGAAGAGGCTGGGCTTGAGGAAGGAAAAGCGAATTGGGGATCTAAATCGAGTTCTGGTCCAGGTGCTAGTACAGTTACTCATTCTTCTAAATCTTCTAGATTTAAAGGTAGACCTCAATCTAGTGGTGCGAATTCTATTAGACTCACTTGAAACTTGGACGTTATTCTTTTCATGATCGATTTGACTACTGTTTTTTGACGTACTTTGTTTATGCAACTATTTACAATCCTATTTTGTTCCCACTTTGAATTCGAACTTATCTTATACCTATCAAGACAGTTTTCAAAAGTCACTTCGATCATAACAACGTTCACATGCTTGATTAAATGGAATACAAATCATTCGCCAATCCCTCAAGGAAACCTCCATTCCACTTTGAATACAACTTTCAAACCCAATCACCTAAACTTCAACCGTGTTTTTTTTGTTAATTACAATCTTTTTCTATGAACTTTGTTCCAAGATTTGAGTACGAATGATCTTGACAGGTTCTCTTGGTCTATCTTCTGAATCAACTGTAACTGCACCAAGTCTTTCTAATACTTTCATACCTCTATTGATCCTTCCAAAGATCGTATGTCTTCTATCTAAATGAGGGGTTGGAGCCTTTATAAACCAAAAACGGAATAACAAAATAAACGGTTAATGGATACAGTAGACAAAAGGAAGGGATGAGTTTCGGGGATGCTTAACTAATGTTAAAAAGAATTGAGATCCATTTGTGTTGGGACCTGAATTGGCCATTGCTAAAATTCCTGCGCCTGTAAAACGTAATTGAGGATGCTATGTAGGATATAAAGAAGAATCAAAAAGATCAGTTTTGAAAAACCAAGAGATCAAAGTTGATGTTGATTTACGATTTCGTCTTCAAATTTATCACCATAAATCGATTTACCACCTCTACCTGTACCAGTCGGATCACCACCCTATCCACATATCCCAAAGAAAAGAGAAATAAAAATCAAGGTTTCGTTTTCATTTGGAGTCTTCTTAAAATATTCAAGAGTTTCGTAATCGAACAAAAAAAACGAATCTTGACTTACTTGTGCCATGAAATCTGCTATAACTCTATGAAAGATTGTACCATTATAATAACCTCTTTTAGCTAATTCACTAAAATTCTTACACGTCTTTTTGTCCCCCCATTCCAAAAATTTATCCAATTGTGAACCATCAGATTAATGAAAAGTTTCCAAAAATCAGTCATTTCGAAAAATGTGAAGTTTTTTGGGAGGGGTAAGATTTGTGGGTTGAAAAGAACTTACTTTTGGTGCATGATCCCAATATAATTCTAATTCGATGATTCCCATTGTGGTTTCTAAAACTACAGCTGATTTTTGATTTGGATTCATGATTTTGGTTTTTATGATATTGATCGAATTGACATTATTTTCGACAAAAAAACTCGAGTGAATTCCAGTTCAAGAAAAGGTTTTGAGAAGGAGGTGTGAATCGATGCTTTGTGATCATATCTCGGCGGTCTCACGCGCCGATGAAGTGTAGAACGAGATGATGTTATTGTTGGGTTGATATAATTTGTTATAAGCATATTACATTACACTGACTCCTGGACCAGTCACGTGACCGGACGAGCCTGTCACGTACATGTCAGGTGGGATGTGACCTGCAGCAGCGTGTAAATCAATCATTTGAGCCTCTGTCAAGTTTCTGGAACTTGGATCTTTGGGAAAAAATGACGAGCATCCCTTAGATGGCGATCATGATATTTTGATTTTCGTGCCACTCGCACTTTTCTGGTGATCCAATTCGTTGTTATCTTTGACGACGTGTGAGATAGAGCGTGCTGTCAGGTAACAGGTTGGCTGAAGCGTGATAGGCATCACAATAGCACTATGGGAAGTATGATAGAATAGCCGGATTCAAGTAAGAAAAATGCCTGAAATACCACTTTCCCTGCATCAAAATTCTACTTATAAATTGTGAATTTTGATCACACTGTCAAATAGCCCCACCTGGGAAGCATATTCCTAGCAATCTATTTTGTGCAAAAATAAATTTTGAAGGTTGGGAGGCTAAAGTGCATGAAATTTTAGGCACTTTTTGGCCGACGTGAACCCAGCTAATGTTTTGGGATAAGCAATGTATTCTACACGTCAAATGACCAAAAAGGCTTTGACTAGGAAGCCGCGAGATTGAAATGAGTTGCGCGCCTCACGATCAAGGACTTGACACAAACATCGACTGGTCCACACAGACAGTCAACTCAGCTTCTCATAGCCAGCTCAAAGCAGAAAAAATAGGAACAAGACTGTTGGCCATGATGAGCCAGTTTAATTCTGATTGTAAATATACAAAGCTAAATTCATGCCACTTGTGTTTATTGAAACCAAGCACACATTGCCAGAGTGATTCAAGCCCGATCTTGATTGTCTATACAAAACTATATCTGATGTATGTAGATATCAGTCTTGATTTAAATTGGCTCTGTTTAGTAGGAGACTCCAAGAAACCGATGAAACTTGGGTTTTGAACCAATGAAAAAGGACATGAAGCCAATATAAAATAAATTTAAAAAATCAATAGTAATGTGGATTTTTTTCATGTTTGGACAACGATTTATGGTCCTTCACACCTAGCCTCTTGGCCAAGATTGACTGAGAAAAACACAGGGGAGTATTCCGTGGCTTTGATATCGTAATATAATTCAAAGTGAATGAAATAAGTCATCAGTAGTCTCATCCCTCATTTTAATTCGTGCAATATTCCTACTTTTTATAACGCCACATGAAAATTGTCCACTAAGATCGTCGACATCGCATGTTTCATCTACATATACACGTAAATCATCAAATTTGGTCCTTCCTCTTTCTTGTTTAGATCAGATGAGTGTGATGATCAAATAGGAGAGCTTACCGGAACACAACTGAAAATGGCAAGTGAGAAGGGTGGGATGATCAAAACAGAAAGTGTCACATTGAAGGAGGGTCAGCTGAACTGCCATGGCGATGGTGTAAGTCAAAGTTGAAAGTGTGCCGACTCGCCTGATTGAGTCGGATGTGGATTTTTATTAGTCCATCGGGATCACTGAGCTCCAGGGTAGCTTTACTCCTTGCTTGGCAACGACCCTTCTGGTCGGTGGATGGTGTATCTTTCGCGTGAGTCATTTTTAAATGCCAATTAGTTGGTTCGCTGGGGGAAAATTTTGCACCGAAGTTTTCGTCTTTATCTGCTATATTGCATTTACTCTCTCGTTTTAATGTGAATTCTGCTTCACCACGAGGGATTGAGACGGCACCGGCAGGAGTTCGCCATCTAACAAAATATTTCGCGGGTGCTCTGCTAGACTGAAACCCACATGCCAAAAAGATCGAAAAAGGTCAGTGTGATATTTGTGTATCGCTTGGACAACAGAATAATTGAAAGGATTCTTCAACTGACCACTTCAAGACTCATGGTAGCAATAAAAAGCCATAAGAAGAAAACTTTCGAAAGATTTGCTTGGGAATTCGGCATCTTGCAGCTGACAAAGATGTCGATATAGTTAGGCTATCACGCTGAAATAAAGCCAAGAAAATAACATATGTAACTAGTACCTTTTCAATATTTGGGAGCGAGTTGATCAGCACGATATATTTCTGAGCCTGAAGTGAGGTGGGTATGGTTTCTACAAACCGGTGGGATTAAGATGACAGGCGCCCTCTTATGTGTCAGAGAGTGGTGAGAGATAATACATATGTAGATGCCCTGACCTCCATGAGGCGTGGTGGGGGACGTGGTGGAAGGGACTTCAGAGGTGGCGTCAGTAGCAGGTGTGGCGTTAGCCACCCCATTGCGTCAATTCGGACAAACCTTGAGACCCTTCCGTGTGCTCAGAGATTTGTGGTCTCAGCGTCTTAAAGAGTTTTTGCTATGTTTGGATGGCTTTATACAAAATGGGGAATATGTTTGTCCGGTTTCAAAAGGAAATCTATTTATCCATAAACCCCACTTTGTCCAAAGTCCTTCTGTTGAAGAGATTTAGACAAAGATCAGTCTATTCCAGTTCTAAATAAACTGAAGAGCCTGATAGGCTAGCAACAGTTTTACACAAAGATTCAAGATATTTTTTCCGTGCACCAATCCTGCTAAAGACCAGAGCACCAGCTGTCACCTGATATGCAGCAGCGTGTAAATCATTGAATGTCATTTCTGGTAGGACAGGAGAAGGATAAGGTCTGAGCTGATAATCATGATGTTGTACTTTTTCAGGCCTCTCCCTCTTGTTTTTGCATAGTCAACTCAGTCTTGCAAAGTCTACAGCCACTCTAAAGCAGATTCCAAAGCAAGGAATGAGTATCAATTCCCACAAAGTCCAATTTGTACTCCCTATGCATACCCAAGAGAAATCCTTAAAAAATGACTTGGCTTGTGTTGAACCACCAATTGAAAGCAAAAGAAGATCACCAATACTTTTGAAGAGCTAACAAGATATGACTATGGTAACACTTGATTTTTCATTACATGGATTAATTCTCAGGTAATCATGATGTTGTACTTTTTCAGGCCTCTCCCTCTTGTTTTTGCATAGTCAATTCAGTCTTGCAAAGTCTACAGCCGCTCTAAAGCAGATTCCAAAGCAAGGAATGAGTATCAATTCCCACAAAGTCTACTTTGTACTCCCTATGCATACCCAAGAGAAATCTTTAAAAGATGACTTGGCTTGTGTTGAACCACCAATTGAAAGCAAAAGAAGATCACCAATATTTTTGTAGAGCTAAAAAGATCTGACTGTGGTAACACTTTGTTTTTCATTCCATGGATCAAATCTTAATTCTTTTCAATCAATATAGTCCAAAATCTTTGATTGAATCAAAATTGATTGTCAATCCTTTGTGGTACATAACAAATACAAATAAAAATGTGGCCTATGATCAGCCAATGGAATTCTCATTGTGTTTCTAGATTGATGTGACTTGAATTGATTGAGAACAAGCCCACACTCTTGAATTGATTCAAACTTGATGTTAATTTTCTAAGGGGAAGGGAAATTTTAAACCAACCTAGCTCTTTACACAGCCTACCTCACTGTAAAGCAGGGTTGGTATAAAATTACAAAAATAGGCCCCAATCATTTGATTTTATACTTGTTTTACATTTTCTTTTCCCATGTAAAGTATTCCTGTTTTCAAATTTTGGTTTAAAAATGTGGAACCCATCTGAGCATACATTTTTACACAGGGGCAACTACACAGCCTGCCCCGGTGTAAATAAATCCCAGCATAAATGTATCAGTTTGCCTGATAAAACTGACTTTCACACAGGGGTGCTTCACACCGGGAAAGTCTGTGTAAAAAGATGCAGTACAAAAATCAGAACCACGACATGTGGGATGTAAATTTACACTGCCAGTACTTTTACATCAATTTTTTGTATTACACAAAAAAGCAAACAAATAATTAAAGGTCATGAAGAATTAAGCCTTGTAAAAGCAAAGATTAAATTAAAAGAGCAAAATAGAATAGTATGATAACAAAAAGACAACTGGTATACAGATGAGAGAAAGAGTAAAAATGAAAAGCTATTCATATCTCTCATCACATGTGTTGTTGTTGCTTTACTCTGGATTTTACTTCTGATACTACCACATTAGCCTCCTTGATGGGCTCATCTTCAACAATGACCTGGCCTTTCCATTTGGCTTTCTCAGGTGCTTCTGTTGAACACACAAAAAATCAGCTGAAAGCCTGAAGATGACTACATGAATTGATGCATAGATCACCTTTCAAAGGTTTTCTATTGGGAACAAGCACTTTTGATTCCTTGAAATCTGCTGGGGATTTGGCCATACAAATTTTGAGCATTAACTCTATGTAAATGAATCAGTTAGCAATTAAAATGAAGTAACATAAATATGGAATAATTTTTTTGTAATAGTGATGTACCTGGTTTTGATTTCTTTGCTGTTGCGTCTTTTGGGACAGTATTCTCAATTTCCTCCTTGATGGACGTCCCTGGTTGCAAATTGGTCACTGTTGCATTCTTGGGATCATCTTTGGTGTTGATGTGTCCTTATTCTTGTTTTCATATATGTTTGAAGGTTCTTGAGATTCATCAGCTTTGGGGAGTCCTCTTCCAAAATGAAATCTACAAGCCGGCATGGAAAAGGGAATAGTCAAGTGGGTGTTTGGAAAGGCCTTCATAGGTGGACAAATTGAACCTTTAATATGTGCTGTGTTGCCTTCATGTGGCATACATGAGTAAAAAAACCAGGTAGTGCTGGGAGAACAACCAGCTATGCTGATTACATCAGTCCCCTCAAGATGATCTATACCTGCATTTTCACGCTTGTCCTAGTGCCAAACACCTAAAATGCCTTCAATAGGCTTGACCACCCTACACCAGTAATGTGAAAGCGCCCAGTATCCATGTGAAAGAATCATGTATTTGACACCACCAAGTTCCACTTGAGCTGGACAATTTGTCTCATCTTGGTACCTTTTACCCTTGCCTGTGCCCATTCCAACAACACTGTCTAAGTAGAAGTATAGATGCAAAGGTGGCAATTGGGTATCAACAACCATTTGGTCATTGTTAGGTGGTTTCAACTCAAAGGTTTGTACATATTTTTACACTACAACACATTTCAAGTTGTTGTAAAATATGTATAATTTTTTAGAATTTCAAATTCAAAATCTGTTGGTTTTACAAAGATTCTTTTTATGAACAACTTGTACAAATAGGGCGGTTCAAGAAGAGAACCGCGAGCACCTGTCACGCAGCGCGCCGATCTGGTTTTAAAAGTGGGTCCGCAACTTATAAAACATGATTGCAAAGTTCCAAAAGACGTAATTATAAGTTTTAAGTCTTGGCCAAGTCAGGGCCAACTGCCTTGGTTTCTTTTTTTCTTGCTTCCAACGTCTCATTTGATTGGGTTTTTTTGGGGGCTTTTACTTTTGATGACGAGAAAATGGTTTGTTTAGCGGTTGAAATGAGGATGAAGTCAGTTCGCACGACAGAGCCACCCATTTACTCCTTTTTGTACAATTCCATCGTACTCCTTTTTGTACAATTCCATCGTACTGTTACTTTCTTGATCTTTCCATCTTACTGTTAGTTTCTTGATCTGCCACTATGCCCCGAATCTCCGATCGAGTTGCTATCATACGGGATCTTACCAACCTCAGTGTCGTTGCTCACATGGAATCCAATCTCCAGTTACCTGGCGAACCACCCAATCCCCTCAACCCAACAGAGGGCCAGATGTTATTCGACTCAGACCTTGAGATGGCCGAAACATACGATATGTTGTTCGATGAAGAACAACAGTGGTCTGACCTTCTAGCCCACGTGATTTCAAAACGCTATCTACATGATCGAATACGATTGCAATTACCAACGCCGTTTGACTTGCGAGACATGCTCCGTTCACGACGCACAGATTTCCGACAGGCGATGCGAACCACCCCAGAAGGATTCCAAGCGCTACTCGACTTGATCAAGTCGCATACAATTTTTGTCTCATCTGGCAACCACCGCCAGCCCCCGGTTGAAAAGCAATTGGCCATTACTCTCGAGAGGCTCGGAAGCAATGGCAACGGCGCATCAGTTGGGCGCTTTGCCCGCAACTACAAAGTCGGTCGCGGCTCGGTAATCAATTGCACACGCCGTGTCATATTGGCCATCTTGGACATAGGCGCCCCCTATCTCACTTGGCCTACATCAGACAGAAGGCAAGCTATCTCGCAGGTCATGGACCGAGAGGGTTTCCCTGGTTGTGTGGGATTTGTAGACGGTACAACAATCCCCCTTTTCCAACGCCCTGGCTGTGATGGCGAAGTCTTCTTCAATCGCAAACATCGCTACTCAATCAACGTGCAAATAGTTTGTGACTGCGACCGGCGGATCACATATGCTTACGCAGGCTGGCCTGGATCATGCTGTGATAGCACGGTTTATTCCAAGACCGAGATTGCAAATCACCCGGATAGGTACTTCGATCAAGGTATGTCATCAGTTTGGTTCAGCTGGTCATCACAATTGTTGACATTTATACACGTTCAGATCAATATATTATAGCAGATTCAGCTTACAATCCATCTGTCACGGTGGTTCCATCCTACAAAGGGCAAGCCGCCGAAGTCCAGCGCAATAAGGAATTCAATTGGTGTGTTGCGAAATCACGAGTTCGCAACGAGCACGCAATTGGAATTCTCAAATCACGTTGGGCGTCGCTTCAAGGTTTACGATTAGCTTTGAACACTCGCGCGGATATGAAACACATCCTCAAGTGGGTTCGTTGTTGCATAATCTTACACAACATGTTGGCCGATCTGGGAAATACTTGGACCGAAGAACATGATTTATTGTTTGCGGAGCCAGGTGAAGCTGGGCGGTTGCGAGGTGCTCAAATAGGTGATCTTGCGTTTGTCGAACGAGGAAGGGCACATCGGGAGAAGGTCCGTGACTACGCAGTTGCTTGTAACTGGCAGACCGGGGGACTTCCGATTGTGCAATGATCTCATATGTCTTCTGCTCGAGGGTTTGGCTTGATTTCATTATGTAGTAATCTTTGAATTGAGTTATTTCTGTTGTGTTTTCTTTTACTTTTATCTTTGTAACCCTTGGTCATTTCTTTTACTTTTATCTTTGTAACCCTTGGTCAGTGTCAATGTGCAATTCATCCGTGTAGTTCAATTCCATAATGGAAGCCATTTTGTGTTTAGAATGAATTTGAATTTCAATTAAAAATGAAACTGAATGAACAATTGTTCTGAATGAACGAATGTTTGACTCAAAACTCATGAGTTGAGTCAAACGAGTGTTTGACTCAACTCATGTGTCGAGTCAAACACTCGTCAAGTTCGCTGATTCAATGTGTGTTATTGAAACTCATGTGTCGGTGAACGAGTGTTTGACTCAACTCACGTGTCGAGTCAAACACTCGTCAAGTTCGCTGATTCAATTTGTGTTATTGAATCGGCCTTGGATTTTTCTTCTTGGTCACCAAATGGGCTCATGGCGAGTGTCAACATAATACACCAAGAAACGCAGAGGGTAAAATTGCAAGCTCTGACACCAGACATCAACTACAAGGGAAAAAGGTAAAGAACAACTACAATTGAAGGACATAAAAAATTTGAATCACGAGACATCCACTACGGTTGAAGGACATGAAAAAATTGAATATAAAAAACCAGACATCAACAGCAAAACAATCAAAGAAAAATACAAATGGCAACAGATACCAGGGAATTCAAAGAACTTAATCAAAGCACTCGAAGGACTTAAAACTTAATCAAAGAACTTAAGCAAACGGGTAAACCAGATCGTAATTACAAACGAGGTGAAAAAACTTTGGCCATCGTTGAAACTAGATAGCAAAGCTGTAGATGGTTGCGAAACGGTGAAATATAAATCATACCCATTCCGAGTGCCTGTATTCCACACAACCAAAGTTTTAAGTGCCGTTCATTACTTTAGTCTTTTGCAAACTGAGACAATGTGATATCAAAACTTACACGGGGACCTCAGACGGGTATACCAGACGCAGGAAAGCGTCAAGCTCTTGGGGGGTCTTGCCTTCCAAGACCAACCGCTCACAGAATGCCTTGCGCTCTCTCAGCGCCTCTTGTGCCAAACGCCTCTCTTCGGCTTCTCGTTGATCTTGTCGTTCAAGGAAATACTTCTCCTTGTCCCAGGTCAGTTTTAATTTACAAGCTTCCGATTCGGCTTGCAAACGAGAGGTTTCCATTTCTTGACGCCAGTTATTTGCTTTGTTCAATAATTCAAGCTTCGCTTCGTTGCCTTGCTGAATCGCAGTGGCCAGGGCGTGTTTGTGTTCTTTTCCTTGAACATGGGCCGGATCGATTGAGGGAAGGGGGTCCAAAGGGCGACGTGCCAGAGTCGTACGAGAGGCTGCACCACGGCCAGAGGTGACTTGGGTCGCTGCAGTGGTAGATGTGACCTCATCGTCATCTGAGCTTGAATCTAGGGCTCGCTCCTGTTCGGTTAGAGCATTTACCCTGCTGGCATACGAGGTCATAAGTTTCTTGGGGCGACGAGCCGGATGTGTATTGGATAGTTTACGATCTGGTTTCTTGATGGCAGTGCGGATGCCTGAAGCCGGCTCGACTGGGGCGACTGTGGCGTTGTCATGAGGGCTGATCGAAGTGAGATCCTCAAAGGTGATGGGTGTAGGAGCACGACGGCCACGGTGAAGATTGGTGAGATCTTCCAAGGTGTTGGGTGTTGGAGACCGAGGAAGATGGCGGTCTTCCTGATCCTCGTCTTCCTGAACTTCGATTTCGATGAACGCTTGGGTTTCATCAACTAAAGATTCTAAATGAATCATCGAAATCGGTCAAAGATCAATCAGCACAAGAATGACCAAGGGAAAGGATGTCCAACAGTGCTTACTTTGGCTTGCCTGACCCCTTTCGCCGAGGTCCATGATCATGAGGTCATGATCGTGGCCATCAGAAGTGTCACCGTCACTTCCAATGAGACCAAATTGGCCAACTTCATCTGTGGAGTTTTCACGCGGTCCAATTCCGCTGTCGAGAATACCAAACGGGGTGATGTTTCCTTTCTCACCAAACAGGGCATCCATTTCGTTATAGCACGGACACATCGACTCCAGCAACTCTTCCATACTTTGAATACCGTCGGCCACGTTCTTGGCGGAGAGGCCACTGCCAGTATTCTTGCTGAAAGCCTTGGCGGCCACGTATTTAGACTTGTACCGTTTGAGACGCATGTGTAAAACTCGGCCATTCAATCTCATTTTGTTTGAGTTGTTGCGGACGTTATAATTGTTGTTAATTTCAATCGCAAGCGGGTTCAACAACGTTTTCGGATTCATTGCCATTCCGGTAACCCGTGTTTGGCTGCCTCCACCAAAGATAGCATTTCGGGTGTTTGGTTTAGACAGGAAAGCAATGATTGTTTGATAATCTAGGAGGTCAAAAGGAGGGCTGTCACGAATGATTTTGGCTGACGCTGCTGAAGAGGTGTTTGACGTGTGATGTTGCGCCGCGAGTCGTGAGCGTTTCACATCGGCGGCAGTCGGTCTTGACCCCGATGGCAGACTGGAACCCAGATGCTTCAAATCAGCCTCGATCTGGGCTTTCGTTTGACGGTTGCGTGGAGCCTATGAAAAAAAGAGATGTTAGTAGCTAATATCATACATTATGGACCACGCTTGATTCAACTAACCTTTCCTCGGGTTTGAGATTTAGGCGCCATTATAAATCACAGGAAAAAGAAACTGTTTGGCAAGGAAACACAACGTAAAAGTAGGTCTTCAGAAGGTTTGAAAGCAAAGATAGCAAGATACTGGTACGCTGCGCTAGATGCCTGATTGTTGGATATGGAGAAATTGGTTGGAATGGATACAGAATAAAAGGACGATGTGAAGCAAGAAGAGCAAGCAGGAAGAGATTCAAAGAGTTTGAAAAGATGTCTGAAGAAGAAAAAGTCGAATGTGGAAAAGCATTTGAGGCTTATATTTATTTAATTTGGATGAATTCAAGTTAGAGATAGGCTTTTCGCGACGGGGGTCATGGTATGATCAGACGTTTGATCAAAGTCCTGATAATTGATGAAGCTAGTTCGACCGGGTTGCTGGAATCGAGACTTTTTCAAGGGCATGATATGAAGGGAGTCATTTTGTCCTTTGAGTCCTAGCGTTTTGGAAGTGGCGGCCCGGTGGAAGTTGGAAAGATGATATGAAAAGACTTGATTCCTTTGGTGTCCATGTACGCGAATTGAATCCTCGATTCCTTTTGTGAACAGATATCTCATATCCAGCAGGGCCGGTCTTGAAGTGTATCTTGAGATTTTCAGTGTTTCATTACTCGGCCGGGTTTTTGGGGGCAAAATGTTTTGTTAATGAAAGAGGTATCCATTTTTTTTTCTCCTTTGACAGGAACACCGGTTATTTCAAGGGACCAAAAAAAGAAAAAAAAAAAGAATCACTTTTTTTTAAATGTTGGGGCCTGAAAATTTTAAAAATTTTATGGACAAATTCCAGATCGCAAAACAGTGAATCACCTTTAGAGGTGGTTTGCAAACTTAGATTTAAAATTTAAGTTTAAAAGTTGCGATCCGTTTTTAAAATGTAAAAATTGGCTGTAAAAAGCCTTCTTGAACCGCCCTAATGTTTTGAAAATATGTAAAGAAACTTAAGTTGCAACCCCCTATTATGAAATTGGGCCCTTTTCTGTATTTTTACACCAACCCTCCTTTAGAGAATCAGCACCCGGCCTTGTAAAAACCAAAATACAGTTGTTTTACAATTCTGTGGGAAATAACTTCAGCCATCAGGCCTTGTGGTCTCCACATTGTGTAAATTTGGCCTTGACCCTCAAGACATGGACAACCACAAAGGCCTTCTAAATCCTGCCAAAAGGGCAAAGCATCCAAACCTTTCCAAATTCTGTTCTACAAAGCAGAATATTTGAACCTTTGTGTGGATCAAGCTACCCTCAAATCAATTCTCCATCACCTCAATGGGCTACATATCATATCCATGTTTATGGATATGCTTGGGGTTGCCAATGTTTTACAAGCTTTGTGGAAAGGAGTCATACACCTGCTTTGCGGTCATTTGGTGTCTTTACAGCAACCCGTTTTGGTCTTATGTTGTAAGGCCCGTTGCTGATGCTCTTACACCGGGGTAGTCTGCGTAAAGCAATTGGTGTAAAATTCTCCTATGCCATTTTCTTCACACAGCCATGTCTTATTTAGTAGCATAGATGTATGGATCAGTCTTAATTTGATCTAGTTATCTTTGGGTAGTAGGAGACTACAAGACACCAATGGAAATTTGGTTAGATGAGCAAAAGAAATCATGAAGCAAATGTAAAATAGATAAAGGGAGGGGTGAAAAATCAATGATTATGTGAAGTTTTTGTTGAAAATTCGACAAGGATTTATCATCATGTACATTTAACCTCTTTGTCACCAGAAATATGGAAAAAGTGATTGGTGTTGGCCGGGGCTTTGATATCAGAATGTAAGTAAAAGTGAATAAGATCAGTCATCAGTTTTTTCATCAATTTCTTTTGATCTTTGTCACTATCCTTACCATGTATAATGCCACATGAAAATTGTCCACTTCGATCGTTGTGTTTGCAAGTTTCATCTACATATATGCGTGAATCATCAACTTTTGAATCTTTTATCTCTATTTTTCAATCAGATGAGTGAAATTATGAAATAGAAGAGCTTACCGGAACACAACTAAAAACATCAAGTGGGAAGGACGGAATGATCGGAACAGAAAGTGTAACATGGAAAGGTTCAGCTGGAATCCCATAACAATGGTTTAAGCCAAACATCAAAGTGTATCAAATCACCTGATTGAGTCGGATGTGGAGCTCTACACCTCCTATCTTCACGTCAAAGGTAGCTTTACTCCTTGCGCTGCAATGTCCCCTACGATCATGGAATGGTACATCGTCTGCGTAAGACAGCTGTACCTTCCATTGAGTTGGTAAGTTCGGGTTAGCGTCTTTCCATGTGAAGTCACGGTGGTGGTCATCGTCTGGATCCGGAGCGCCGCATTGACGATTTTGTTGCATTGTGAGTACCACTGAACCATTAGGGTCTTTAACGATGGCAGTCGTTCGCCAATTAACTACAAAATCAGTGCTAGACGGTCCTTGGCCAGACTGTCACCCATATGGCAAAAAGATTGAGAAATGTTAGTGCAAGAGTTGTGTATTGTACAGCAAAACGATTGAAGGAACTCTTCAACTGACCACTTGAAGACTCATGGTAGCAATGAAAAGCCATAAAAACAAGACTTGATAAAGATCTGCTCGAGAGTTTGGCATCTTTTGGCAGACGGAAATATCGATATAGTTAGGCAATCACGTTGAAATAAAGCGAAGAAAACAAGTGTGTGACGAGTACCTTTGCGCTATCTGGGATGATTTACGATTAGCACGATATCTTTCTGCGGTGGATATGGTTTCTGCGAACAGGTGGGATAAAAACAAGAGGCCCCTCTTATGCTTCAGAGGGTGACCGACCGTGGAGTTGTACCAAACCCATGGTGCAAGGGAATTCAGAGGTGGCTTCAGTAGCAGGTGTGGCGTTGCCCACCCCATTGCGTCAATTCGGACAAACCATGAGACTCTTCCGAGAACTCAAGACTTTCAAAGCGTGCTCAAATATTTTCGCGCCAGGGTAGTACAACTTTAAGCTATACTTGATGGCTTTGGACAAAATGGGGAATACGTTTGTACGGTTTTATAAATTACAGGCATAGGTTAACAGGTGGTTTACCATTTCATCATCATCAGCCTCTTTGATTCAGTCCTAAGTTTTCCTCGTCGCCCCCACGAGGGTCCACGTACATATTTTTAGCAAGTTGACGAACCGGATAGCAGATCTGTGGTTTAGCCTCGAGATGTTTTTATGATTGGTGTCTTTCGGGGCTATCGTATCAGAATGCGAGGACAATTGAATGACATAAGTTGTCAGTCTCTCCACCACGTCTTTTGATCTGTGGCACTATTTCCACCTTTTGTAACACCAAAAGTCACAAGCTTCATCTACATAAACACGTATCTCATCAAGTATTATTCTTTTGACTTGTTTTGTTCAAGCAGATGAGCGCGAAGATCCAGTAGAAGGGTTCACCGGAACACAACTAGTAGTAGAAATGGCAAATGAGCAGAGTAGGATGTGTCCCAGAAAGGGTCACAAAGAAAGACGTTCAGCTGCGCTCCAATGACAATGGTGTAAGCCAAAAGTAAAAGTGTGTTGACTCACCCCGTCGAGTCGCATGCGGATTGATACATGTCCTTGACTCAACTTCAAGGCCAGGGTAGCCTTACTCCTTGCACGGCAACGGCTCTCATGATCGGCAAAAGGTGCCTCTCGTCCTCATCTTCCATTTGTAGTCAATGTTTGTGAAGGATGCCTCGAAGCTTTTGGCTTTGTCTTCGGTGCTGCAGTGGATCTCCTGAGCCATTACAAATTCTGCTTGACCAGATAAACTTCAAAAGAGTTTACTTTGGAATTCTGCACTCGTTGAAACTTGATTGCAACTATGTATCCTGAAAGATGCCACATTCTTAAGCAGACCATCAAAGTAAGTTATGCTCCATTCATCTTCAATTTCCTTTGGTAAAATTTCTTCATTCTTGCGATCTTCTGGACTTGTTGACGAGGACTAAAAAGGCACGAAGGCCTTGACAGCGATCACAGCTACCATATCCCAATTTGAACCCGCAGGGATAAATCTCATATAGATTTCACTGATTTTACATGATCTAGTGACAGGGAGTGACTCGTTGGCGTTCACGGGTGGGTTTTTGAATGACGTCATAAGCTGTTTACCACCCTTCCCTTGACCTTCTCAAGACTGAGCCTCTACTATCTAATCCATAGCAATTCCCACGAGGTTTTGTTGGATTTCCTTTCATGTTTCAAGATTATCTGTGCTCCAAATCTCAAGGCTCTACATACTTTCGCGAACAGGAAAGCCAAAGTTAACCCCAACCATTATATATGAAACCTCTAACGTGAAGTCCATCAAAGTTTAGCAAAATCAAACCTAGAAGGAATGGGCTTCAAACCAATCATTTCTGATTTTCAACGAACTTGAAGATCGAGAAGGTACATAATCAAACCCTCTCAAAGTATGTAAGCTCTATTGTAAATCCAATCGTGAACTCCGTGAATTTCCGCTTCGCATTGATCGATATCAACTTTTAACTTATCTTCTACCTTCAAACTTCAGAGGATATCCAATGAGCCCTCCCTGAACAGCCCTGAACTCCCCCACAGATCGAACACAGCCTACCTCGATGAGCCTCGATGGCTGAAGAATGTACACGGTTTGAGTTACATAAAATGAATCAAGTGAAGTGAATTGGTCTATTTGTGATCAGTTTTTAATGTGAGAATTAATGTGAATTTTTAATAATCAAGATCACTCAATCAGTAAATGAAGAACCGGTTTTGAATTCGATTATGTAAATACGAAATGCTCAATGATTTCATAGCAGAAGAGATTAGAAGACTTCGAGAAGACCTACAAATCAATCAACTCCAGAGAAATTCTCATTAATATTTAGAAGTATCAATCAATTCAAACCAAAGAACACAAAGCAAGATAAATTAATCATCCTTTCTAAGAACCATGAAGTTTGGAAACTTGAATCAGCTTCAAATATTACCACTTATGACCAGGAGAAGATCAAATTCAAGAAGTCTAACTTCAATCTTACCCAATTCAATCAAGTCAAGAATCAGATCCCAGTTCAGTCAAGTGCTTGAGGCTCAAAAGCATTCAAATTTTCGTTTTAACTCAAGCTTAAATGCTAATTTTCACTTATTAAGGTCTGATACAAGTTTAAATCCGAGTTTGATCGCCAATTTATCCGAAGCTAAACCATCCAACTCAACTCGTACCACCAGCAAAACAACAACAGCCACAATCAGAAAGATCTCAACCAACTCATCAGGGACTTCAAGCAATAAATCATCCAACATATCAATCATTAATAATCAAAAAGACCTTTCATTAACTATCAATTCAGAATTAGATCAAATCCATAATTTAACATTGTCTTATGTTTGGTTAAGAGATGCTTGTCAATCTGATTCATCTATACACCCACAAACTCGTCAAAAATTATTCAAATCATCGGATATTCCAACTTATATCTATCCAATTCAAACTTCAATTTCATTTAATCCCAAGTCAAATCAATCTCAACTTATCATCAAATGGAGTCATCATCTTTTAAATCAATCTGATCAATCTAAATCTAAGCCTCATCTCAGTAAATTCGATTTATCATTCTTGAAACTTAAATCAAATCAATCTGATTGGATCAATCATCGACATCAACAAAATTATTTAAAACCCATCCTTTGGTCCAATCATCCAAACCGATCATCAAAAATTGACCAAGACCATCGTATCCTTCAACTCCAAAACCAATCAAATCTATTCATCAACTTCAAGTCAATCTCTGAAAAAAACCTGTTACAATATCAATCACTGAATAGATTGAATCAAGATGGATTAGTATTTTTTGATCAAATTTCCGATCAGGATAATACAACTCATCCGGATTTATTGACTCGATTAATTGACAACTTTCAACTTGAAACTAGAAGGACGTTTTATGGTGATTATTGGGATGTGAAATCTCAAGGTGATCAAGCTACTAATGTAGCTAATACTAGTCTTACGTTAGATCTTCATATGGACCTTGTGTGAGTTTTTATCCTATCTCATCTCTCGAAAATTCTATATATCTCATCAGAGCCATTCTAATCTCACCACTTTATCCGATCATCTCTTGTTTATAGCCATTTTCAAAACCCACCTAGGTTTCAATTTCTATACTGTTTAAAGAACGAGGTAGAAGGAGGTCGATCAACCTTTGTAGATGGATATGCAGTAGCTGAAGCATTATTTCGTGAAAATCCAGCATACTTTCATACACTAGCTACACGTTACATCCCATTCGAATATATAAACGCAGGACATCATACATATTATAGTCATCCAACGATCGAACTTCATCCAGGAATCTCGATTGAAAAATTCATGAAGACCAAAACCGAATGTATTTCAGATTCATTAAGAGCAGTTAATTATGCACCACCATTTCAAGGTCCATTAGAAAACTTAGGACCTAATGGTGAACTTTATAATTCCAAAGATGAAAGATTACTTTTAAATGCGCTGAAAGTTTTTGATCAGATTTGTAATCAAGATCGATTTAGGTTTGAGATCTTACTTAAACCTGGTCAATGTGTTGGATTTGATAATCGTAGAATTCTTCATGCTAGAACTGCTTTTAAAGCTAAGAAGGATCAATGTAATCATGAGGTTATGAGTTTTGGGTCTGATGATGTAAAACGTTGGTTAAGAGGGTAAGTCATGAAGATTTCTTAAGATTTGCTCTTTTACTGATGTTTTTTTTGTTATGATGTTTTTTGATGGGTTATCTATAGATGTTATGTTGATGGTGATTCAGTGTGGGATAGAATTAGAGTTTTAAGTCAAGAATTTGGTCCACCCAATCAGTTTTAATGATTTTTCAATTTCATTTTCTACATCACTTCTGCTTAACCTTTTCTTTATATTTATGATTTCTATCATTATCTGTTCCTTGGTTCCATTTCTTTCATGTATAATCTGTATCCTATTTATTTGACCGACTCTTTGTTCATCCTAGTATCCGTGTGTGTGTTTTTCATTTGCTTATACATACTAATTTTGATGCCTTGTTTTTAGTAGAATGTGGAGTATCAGATGAAGCAAAAGAAATTTGAAATGAAATAATTTATTGAATTGGGTTTCTTCATTTTAGTTTACTTTGTTCACAAGGATTACGAAAAATTGATCAAGGAATAAATGAAGTTAGTTTTTCTTGTCGTTCTTTTTGGTTTCGAAATGTTTATATTCAGTATTTGTAGTTTCTGCAAAGAACAAACGAGGGTCACGAGACGCGATAAACACCTTCGTTTTCAAGTGTTTCAGTCATCTTCATCTATCATCAGCTGAATCTATTTAGTAGATCATAATCATCAATCAACGCTTTATGTATACACTCTTGTTAATAAGAAATCAGAAAACTTGATAGAAAAAAGAAGGCTCAATAAAAAATTGGTTATTCCGTTGGTCAACTTAGCTGAATGAACTCAGTATGCGCGTAAATAGAACTTTGCACTGAACTGCAAAGAGGCTGGCGATGATGAAATTTTAAACGTTGGTGTCTGGTAAATATATTTTCACTTTTATCTGTAAAGTGAAGCCATTAAATAGCATCAAACTTTAAATTCTTCAAGACGCTATACATACTCTGGCACAGAAATATTAGAACTCGTAAGATTTGTCAGAACTGAAGAAACGGTGTGGCTAATGCCAGCCCTGCTACTGATCATGCCACCTCTGAATTCCCTTTCACGCGGTGTCACGCCACATTGAGATCCGGGCATCTATTGTTGTCTCTCACTCTCTGACACATAAGAAGGGACCTCTCACTTGTAGAAAGCATATCCACCTCGGAAAGAGATCGTGCCAATCATTAACTCATCCCCCAACATCGCAAAGGTACTCGTCGCATATTTCATGTTATTTTGCTTTATTTCAACCTGATTGCCTAACTCTATCAATGTCTTCGTCCGCTGCCAGATGCCGAATTCTCAAGCAAATCTTTCGAAAATCTTCTATTTATGGCTTTTCATTGCTACCATGAGTCAAGTGGTCAGTTCAAGAGTTCTTTTCAATCATTTTCTTATACGATACACAAATCTCATACTAACCTTTCTCGGGCATATGATCATGTGGTTCACAGTCGGGAAAGAACGCTGCGACTTATCTAATTAATTGGCGAACTACTGCCGCCCTTACAAAACCTAGTGGTCAGGCAAAATTGTTGATGGTACAAGAGGGTACATGCAAAAGGCCGAATATAGACAGCAACTTTTCAGCACTATTCTCCGCTGATAGTATACCAACCAAATGGAAGATGGATATGACTCACGCAAAAGATGATCCATTTACCGATCATGAGGGTCAATGTCGCTCAAGGAGTAAAGTCACCTTGGCCATCAGTCAGGATGATATATCAATCCACATCCATCTCAATCATGTGAGTCGACACACTTTCATCTTTGGCTTACACCGCTCTCATGGGAGCTTAGCTGAACCTACTTCTATGCCACACTGTCTGGACGGATCATCCCTCCTTTCTCACTTTCGACTTTCAGTTGTGTTCCGGTAAGCTCTTCTATTTGATCATTGTAATCATCTGATTCAAAAAAACAAAGATAAAAAGATCCAAAATTGATGATTTACGTGCATATATGTAGATTCGGCATGTCATGTCGACAATCTTAGTGGACAATTTTCATGTAGTGTTCTAAAAGGTAAGGATATATTGGTCCAGATTGAAAGGAGTGATGAGAATACTAACTAGTCATCCCATTCACTTCTGCTTGGATTCTAAAACGTATTATTATCAAAGCCCCGGACAATACGGATCAGTTTTTCAGTATTGGTCCTATTAAGACAGCCAAAGAGCATAAATGTACAAGATGATAGATACTTGTCCAATCGGCAAAAAAAGAAAACTTGAAGTAACCATTGGTTTTTTTGCCTCTTCCTTTATTTATTTTGCATGAGCTTCATGAGCTTTTTTTATTTATTTAGGGCAATTTAGATTGGTCTCTTGTGGTCTCCTACTAAGTAGAACCATTTCACATCAAGACTGATCTATATATCTATACTACTATGTAAATTATACATGATTTTGTATAGGAGATCAAGTTCAGCTTTGAATGAATCCAAGAGTGTGTGCTTGGGTTCATGGTAAATTCAAGTCAAATTATTTTGGATATACAATGAGAACTCCATTGATTCATCATGGCCAAGATTCTTATCCAGTTTCATTTAAATCTATGACTTTGCAGTGATGATTTATCTTAACTTTTGGCTTTATTCACTTTGTTGCATCCTTTGAAGAAGATGAGTTTACAATTTGATTTGTTTTTGAATCTTGCCTTTGGATGTAGTTACCTTGTCCCCTCTCTGAAGAAATGACTTTTACATATCATCAAATGATGAGACTAAACTCAAACCAATTCTAATTCCTTGTTACGGTACCCGCCCCCATAAATTTCACCATGTATCAGAGCCTGCATAGACCCAGGAAACTTTCCCGGTCCATCAATACTTGATAATTAACTGTCATGATAGTTCATTGACTCCGAAATAGAATGATAGAGACTATCACTGAGAGAGGTGGGTCGAGAGCGAAATGTAATAATGCACATCTTCATGTGGCGTCCCTGATAGACTCACTTCAAGTTTGCAGCATGTATCAAGGTTATGCAGTAGGATCGAGTGATCCGTCACTGGAAGGAAGAGGTGGTACACCTTCTTGATCTGTGGTAAACAGCAAAGGATATTTGGGCGGGCACTCATCAACAAGGAAATATTGGAGAGACTAAGGGAAAACTATCAGTTTTGAATCTACTTTGGGATACGAGTACAAAGTTAAAACTATATAATCGAGGCAAGTGAAATCAAAGGAAAGCAAGAATAGGAAAAATGGATTGCTTTCTTGGAAAAGAGAATAAAGAAATCAAGAATCTTGAACGAAAAGAATAATGTAGATTATAGAGAATTGGATCACCAACACAATTAAAGAAAGAATTAAAATTATATCACCTGCAGTACGAAACTCACGTCCCCATTTCTTTTGTAATGGTTCCTCATCTTCATTTTCTGATGTTTGATTTATAAGATATTTATCTGAAAGATCGTGGTTTAATCTTTTTCTTCTTATATGAATTATGAACAAAAGTGAAAGAGATAATAAAGCATAGAGTAATCCAACTATGTATCGAAGTGGCAAAACAAGATCTAGAGTTAGTTTTTTCAGATGGATTACTGGTTGAATCGAGTTAAAAGGTAAAGTGAGAAGCATTTACTTTTATCAAACTTTCTAGAAGATAATTTCAAGATGAACAAAGCACATATTGAGCAAGTGAGAGAAGTTCTAAGATATGCTCCTGTTTAAATTGAAATCGAAGAAAGCTCTAGTTTATTAGGAATCTCAATGAAAGCATGATATATAGAAGTATATCACTTACCATCAAAAGTACGCTGACGTGCCCGCCATTCGAGCATCAAACCATCATCGCCATCCCTCAGAATAAAGCTTTCAGGTCGATGGCCCTGATAAAGATAACTTCCAGACGATCGAGAACAGCTAGGTTGAGCCGAGTGAATTTGTGTAAGATGAGATGAGTGGATACTAGGACTATCTATGTACGGACTATCCAGTACGGAGCTCGAAGGTTCTGGTGAGGAGGAAGAAGTGGTCATGGTGAAAGTGTTAAGTTAGGACAAGTCCCAAACTCGCAGGGGCTTTCTTACCTTCACAAGCTCGGTGCCCTGGAGAGGGACTTGCGTATTATCGTGTAGTTTTGGTGGGCGAGCAGGAGCCCGATGAGACTCGCTCGGATAAATGAACTATACATTCCCAAACCTTCCGTAGTTTAGACACTACACAATATCTGAAGAGACCAAACTCTTCAGATTGTTCTAATGAACAATCCTGATCTTTGAACAAAGTTCATCGACTGAATATGAGTCCTTTTGCAAGAGCAAGAGGATTGAGTGAGGTGATTTGGGTGAATTCTCGTCAGTTACTAGTTAAAATTCTACTTTAAACTGCTTCAAATGAATTCACCTAGCCTTGGTCCGGCCAACGTCGAGGTAGTCTTGCCACATAACCACCAACTTCTTCTTCTTGCAGATGACACCTCCTGAACTCAGCACGAACGATCCGCAGGCTGGCGATTCGGATATAGAGGAAAACGGACAGCAGGGCACAGCACCCAGTGGTCGTGTTAGACTGAACCCACGTATACTTCGAGAAACTTGGTGACACTTCGTGCCAGGATCGGGAATTATTTTCGTCATCGTTACAACCAAGAGCCAAAGGATCTGCAGGTTGAGGTGGTGGAACGCTTGGTCAGAGGACATGATGTATTCTTTCATGCGGGGACAGGCTTCGGGAAAACTAGAATTGCGGAGACCTTCTTAGTTTTAAATCCTTTGGATGCTCTCGGAGATAATCAGGTCAAGAACCTTACTTTTCTTATATACTGAGGGAGGAATATACATATTGGATATCTGACTCTTGTACATCTTTATTGTTGCAGGTGAGCGAAAAGATCACCGTCGGAATCAATGCTTTCAATTGTACATGCGAAACATTCAGATATAATAGTGGATGATATCAAAAACGGTGCTTACAGTGTATTATATGTTGTATGTTTGGTCTGAGCTTATTCACCAACAATCTCTGTCATGAACTGCTAGGACTGTTAGGTACTAGTAGGATATGCTGTTAGAGCATCCACTATGGGAGCCGTAACCAAGTGATTTAGCGTAACTTAAACGCTAAAATATAGACAGGTCCACTATGGACCTGTTTTAGACTTGTGGTCCCTACGACCGCGTCAACTTTTGCATTCCCCATGTTCAAATCTACGAACACCTACGACTTGATTTATCGTAGGATAATCAAGTTGAAACTGTTGTTCTCAAAACTTCAAACTCAAAACTTCACACTTCAAGACTTCACACTTCACACTTCGACCTTCAAAACCTCAATTTCAAAGTTCAAAGTTCAAAATTTATCCGACTTCAAGACATCACACTTGGAAACTTCACACTTTGAATCAAATCAAGATGTCGGTTCCACCAACTTCAGCCCCTCCCCCTTCAACAGCCACATCTAAACGTGGGGACAATTGGACTGAGCCCGAACTAGAACAACTCGCAGTATCGTGGGTTGTGACTAGTACTCGACCAGAATACTCAAATAATATGTCCGGCGATGGTTTTTTCAATGATGTTTCGATTCACTTCAATTCTCACTTGGTAACCACACGCTCAGGCAAGATGTGCAAGGGCCAGTGAGTATCAATTCAATTTGAAGATTACACAAATCAAAATTCTGACTTCTTCTAGTACTTTTCAGGTGGCGTACTTTGAACCCAGCAACGCAAAAGTTCTTGGGTATATACGCTCGTCTGGAGCATGATCCACCGTCTGGAACATCACCGGATACCTGGATTGTGGATGCGATGAAGATCTACCAAGCCGAGATGAAATCGTCTTTCAAACATCTCGCTGCTTGGCAGAAACTTCGGTACGAACCCAAATGGGATACTCGTCTTATCAACCAACGTGATCATCCCCCTCCAGCACCCCCTCCAGAGCTCCTTCCTCCTTCAGATGCGACTGGAGGTGATTCATCTACAGCCACCTCATCCAACAACCGTGCTCGACCTGATGACAGCGGCGAGCGTCCAATTGGTGGAAAGGCTGCAAAGAAGCAGCGTCTCGAATCAAGAAAACAAGCTAATGAGGACACTGAAAGAATCGAGGCGATCAAATCATTTACAGCAGTGGCAAACCGACGTGCAGATGCTAGTGAGGAATCCAATCGAATCGCAAACAACTTAATGACAAGTGAACTTAAAAGCAAAGATCTTGAGATTGCTCGAGCAAAGGAGGATGATTGTCCCGATGAAATTTCAAAGAAGATATTAAGGGGTTTGAAGGATGAAGTGGCAAAGAGATATGAATAGTTCAACTGTACTTTTCATTTCATCATCAATTAGGTACAGATATTAATCACACAGCAAAACAATTATATGAATGTATATTTTTATAAGGCTTGTTTTCTTTTTCATAATCAAAGTCATGTAGATATTGATCTCAACTAATCATCAATCAAAAAAAAGATATGTATGTAAATTAGACCAGTAGTTTTAAATCTTAATCATCGAGCAATAAATTTATTTGTATGTATGTTCAAATCGTTTCAACAAAATTGATATCACAATGAAAAGTTGATTTTGAATCGTGTCACATCATTGACCTGCTTCCTTCAGCCAGAGGTCCATCATTAGATCACGCTGAAGCTGAGAATGAGTATTTGCATCTCTCAGAATAAGCGTGTTTTGAAGATACGCCATGAGGGTGTTTTGTACGCCAACATCTTGAAGCTTTGGAACAATCCTGGTTCGAGATGTGTATCGTTCAATTATAGGATCAAGAGATCCTCGATCCTGGATGATCATGTTGTGTAAAACTATACAACACATCATGGCAGAGTGCATGTCGACAAGAAACCACATTCGACATGGCATGTGAGTGATTGCAAATCGTATTTGTATCACTCCGAATGCCCGCTCTATGTCCTTTCTAGCCGCTTCTTGAGCTTTGGCAAATAATTTTGCTGCTGGTGATTGGCGATCTGTTGGTGCTTTAACTATGGTTGGCCAGTTCGGATAAATCCCATCCCCAAGGTAGTATCCTTGTTTATATAGATGTCCATTCACTGTGAAATGTACTTCGTCTTCCAATCCTATAAATCATCTATCAGATCATGAGTTTGTTAAAAAAAACTGAATCAGACTCACCTTTAAGGAAGTCAGTGAAAAGGAATGATCGATTCAGCACATTGATATCGTTCAGAGAACCTGGGGTTCCAAAGAACGCGTGCCAAATGGTAAGATCTTCAGAAGCCACTGCTTCGAGTATAACAGTTGGCGTGTGTTCTTTTCCTTCGAACTGCCCGCTCCATCCAAGTGGGCAGTTCTTCCAAGCCCAATGCATACCATCGAGGCTTCCTTTACAACCAGGTAAGCCACATATTTCATACTCTTTCATGACTCGAGTGAGCTCCTCAGGATTCGGTGGTCGAAGGTAATCTGGACCATAGATTTCGTTTATGTGCTTCATGAACAATTTGAGAGTCAATATCGCTGTTGTCTCCCCGATACCAACATAGTCGTCGGTGGCATCTGCCGGAATTCCGAGTGTGAGCTGTTTCAAAGCACATACTACTTTCTGATAGACTGTGAGACCCATCACACCACAGGCGTCTGGCTTTTGAACCCAGAATCAATCATATACTTTTAAATCTTCAATAATCCTTAAACAGAGGGTCTTACTCATTCGGAATCTACGTTCGAACCTGGATTCATATGTAGCATTCGGTGCGAAGTAGTCATCATATAACTTCTGAGCACGTTGTTCGCGGTCTCGATCAATTCGGATGCGAGTGTGAGGAGGTGGAGGCGGTGAGTCAGGTTTGTTGAACAAGAAATCAAAGACCATTTGGTCATATTCTTGCTGTTCTTCATCGTCATTTGAGGATCTCAAAAGGCGGTGAATCTGTCTATTCAAAGAAGCAGGCATCGTGATAATGAAACGTTTGATTTTTGGATGAACTTTTTGGAAAAGATACGATGATGTATTTCAAATTTGGACCACTGTGGATCTGGTTGATCTACAGTGATTTATCGTTGTTAAATCAGATCGTAAAGCACCTGATAGTGGATTTCAGGCGTTTACCAACTTAGCTGTTTCACGCATGATCAAATTTCGCGTTCAGGAACGCAAAAATTACGATAAATCATCGTCACCATAGTGGATGCTCTTAGAGCATCCACTATGGGTGCGTTAACGACGCGATTTAGCGTTACCGTAACGCTAAAATCCAGACAGGTCCACTATGGACCTGTTTTAGACATGCGGTCCGTACGACCGCGTCAAGTCTTGCAGTCCGCTTGTTCAAATCTACGAAAGCCTACGACTTGAAAAAAAGAAACTTTTGGCGCATCCAAACGGTCAACAGCCATCCAATGATCTATCTCCC